TATGTCGGAAAGTGCCCGACCTCCAGGAACATTTCTTGGAAAAGGCCAAGTTGCTACTACAAGACCGAAACCACGGCGTCTTGCTGTGTGGCGTCACTCTAGTAGAGAACCTCTGCGAGGCGGACGAGGTCGAGGACGACGAGAACGGCGTAAGGGAGATCTTCAGACCCATGGTGCCCAGCCTAGTCAAGATATTGAAGGGGCTCTCTTCGTCTGGTTACGCGCCCGAGCACGATGTGACCGGCATTACAGATCCCTTTCTGCAGTGCAAGCTACTCCAACTTCTGCGAGTCCTGGCCCGCGGAGATGCGCAGGTTAGCGAACAAATCAACGACATTCTAGCCCAGGTCGCAACCAACACAGACTCCTCGAAAAACGTCGGCAACTCCATCCTATACGAGGCGGTACTTACAATCCTCGATATCGAAGCAGATTCTGGACTCCGCGTGCTTGGTGTCAACATCCTAGGAAAGTTCTTGTCAAACCGTGACAACAACATCAGATATGTTGCGCTCAACACACTGATCAAGGTCGTCGCAGTCGAGCCAAACGCCGTGCAGAGACATCGCAACACCATCCTGGATTGTCTACGGGATCCCGATATTAGTATTAGACGGCGAGCGCTTGACCTCAGCTTTACTTTGATCAACGAGAGCAATGTGCGAGTACTGATAAGGGAGCTCCTTGCTTTCTTGGAAGTTGCTGACAACGAGTTCAAACCTGTCATGACCTCTCAGATCGGTGTCGCAGCAGACCGCTTCGCACCAAACAAGAGGTGGCACGTTGATACCATGCTGCGCGTGCTGAAACTCGTAAGTCAGTCATGTTCCTGTGAGCTGCATGTAACTAATCTACGCATCAGGCCGGAAACTACGTCAAAGAGCAGATTCTATCCTCCTTTGTACGACTGATCGCTACCACACCTGACCTCCAGACCTATTCCGTACAGAAACTCTATGCGGCCTTGAAGGAAGACATCACACAAGAGGGCCTTACACTAGCCGGTTCCTGGGTCATCGGAGAGTACGGCGATGCACTGCTAAGAGGTGGTCAGTACGAAGAGGAAGAGCTTGTCAAGGAAGTCAAAGAAAGCGACGTCGTCGATCTTTTCGAAACCATCCTCGGTAGCAGTTACGCCGGCCTCATCGTTCAACAGTACATTGTCACAGCCTCTATGAAATTGACGACACGTTTGAGCGATCCTGCTCAGATTGAACGTTTACGACGGCTATTACAACGATACGCGGCAAACCTTGACGTTGAGATTCAACAGCGTGCAGCCGAATACGGAAACTTGTTCGGTCACGACCAGATTAGGAGGGGCGTTCTTGAGAAGATGCCACCGCCTGAAATCCGCGAAGAGTCACGAGTTCTGGGCGAAGCAACCAAGAAGCGACAGTCGAAGATTGCGAAGAAGAAGCCCGCGCAAGCTGCGACAGAAGACTTGCTGCTGGACCTCATGGGCGATGCAGGCCCGTCGACCAGCATGAATGGGGCGGCCAATGGAACTCAACAGAGTCAGGACTTACTTGCAGACATTATGGGCGGGTCTTCATCACCGCCTCAGACATCCTCCCCGGCGCCACAATCAAACGTGGCCAACATCATGGACCTCTTCAACTCTGGAGCCAGCAGTTCTCCAGCCCCAGCGCAGTCTCACGCGCCGCCGTCAGGAAACTCCATGGACCTTCTGGGCGGACTCGGTGGTATGTCCTCGCCACCACCACAAGCTTCAACGCCGTCGGTGGCCTCAGGTCCACCCGCGCATCCTGCATACAACAAGAACGACCTACAGATCACCTTCCAGCTCAAGCGTGATGCAAACGCCGTGCAACTTCTCGCACGTTTCCGCAATACTGGAAGCTTTGGCCAGCTGTCAGGTGTGAATCTACAAGCCGCTGTACCAAAGAGCCAAAAGCTGCAGCTGCAACCTATCAGTACCAGCGAACTGGAGGGAGGCCAAGACGCGACCCAGCAAATGAGGGTCACAGCTGTCAATGGGGTAAGTCATTCTCAGATACGTTTTGTATGTATACCGTGCTAACAGACCTAGCCCCCACCCGCAAGGCTAAAGCTACGACTCAAGATCAGTTACTTGGCAGGTGGTGCTCCAGTGACAGAGCAGGTTGACTGGGCCGAACCGACATGATCGCAAAGCACACTTTTGGTAGTAAAATCTTCAAGTAGCGAGCAGTATAGAGCAAATGACATACCCGAGCGATGATGACATGCACGACGGACTAGATCCAGCGCAAGACTTTCGTGCGCACACCTTTGGCACATATATCAAGTGCTGAGTGTAGAGCGGGTTCTTCAGCGTCAGTGTATCCTCGAGCTGGATCGCAAGATTGCTTCGGGAGACGCCTAATTTTCATGTTTGGAATGCAGAAGCACCAGTGGCCTTCTGCACCTGTCGCAATAAACCGACAGAGGTGGAAATAAGATGCGGGATTAGCGCCTCAAGCCATCCGCACCCGCTTTTCCGGTAGATCCCCCCGCCATTGCCAGGAACACGACCTGTTGGGTCGCTTCTCTCTTCTGTACAACTGTTTCTCCACTGCACCAATCGTTCCAAAGCGGGATTTCTGCCCATCCAGGAACAATTTGTGTCGAGAAAACATCATTGTGTCACATATCGCAACGACGGCAGCAGGTGATGCACGATCAGGGATTAACACAGATTCTGGGATCGACATGATGGCACGCACCAGCGCCTGCATACTATAAACCTTGCCAGCCACTCACTTTTGTCACTACAGCGGTCACCCTGTCTCGTCATGCGCCCCAAGAAGTTCGGTTCGCATTAGCACGAGGGGATCGCGGGTACCCAGCCTCACAATGCCTGCTGCCAGTATCTGTTTATGCCCGCATAGAGCTACTACCTTCCTTATTCAGCGTTACATGGGACGTTATAATGGTGTCCCGATATTCCCGAAGTCCTGGATCTGGCTGCACGACTTGCAGTAAAGAGGGAACGTGATGCAATTGCCAATAGACGGGTCTTGGTCATTATCCACTATGAACAGGTGCTTAACCTCTCAGATCTGCTTCTATTACTTAGGCACACCCTTCTGTCATTTGTTTCAACGTTCATCTTCATTGGAGAAAGTGAAGATATCCATACCTGAACTTTGTTGGTCTCTCATTAAACTGAGTAGCAACCGGCCCGAACGGTATCCCTGACATTCAACATATTTATACAAGAGACTTTGGGGACCACAAGTGCCTGTGGAAGATCACACGCTTGAACGCAATGCATCTCACGTCTCTCACGCTCGGAAGTGGCTTTTTGTCGCTGGTGTCGGCTCTACCATCGAACACACCAGTAGACCTCCCGAGGAGGCAGTATGAGACCACCCCACCATCATACGATCCTGTGTCGCCTGATCAGAGAGCGCAAGCCGTGATCGACACCTTCAGAATAAGCTGGGAGGGATACCGCCAGTATGCATTCCCGATGGATGAGCTGAGGCCTGTGAGCAACAACGGGAGTAATTCGAGGTATGTACCCAATATCCATGTTTCAAGGAAGTCTTACTAACATGGTCTCAGGAACGGATGGGGTGCCTCTGCCGTAGACGCGCTCAGCACTGCACTCATCATGGGCCAGAAAGACATCGTGAACGAAATCATAGAATATATCCCCAGCATCAACTTCGCGTATACTGAGGATCCCGTCTCTCTATTCGAGACCACGATCCGTTACCTTGGCGGCATGCTGTCCGGCTATGACTTACTCTCTGGTCCTTTGGCGCACCTCGCAGACGATCCAGCAAATGTAGAAGCCCTTCTCACGCAATCCGTCAATCTGGCCAACAATCTCTCCTACGCATTCGAGACACCCACAGGAATACCCTGGAACATCCTTACCTTCAACAACCGAAGCAACGTCGATCAAGAGAACGGACTCGCAACTGTCGGCACATTGATCCTCGAATGGGTCCGCCTCGCCGATCTCACCGGCAACCAAACATATGCGGATCTGGCCGAGAAAGCAGAGCAATACCTTCTCTTCCCATCTCCCGACTTCGCCGAACCATTCCCTGGGCTCCTGGGCATGGGAATCAACGTAACGACAGGGCAATTCAACGACGCAGTCGGAGGCTGGGTAGGCGGCGCCGACTCCTTCTACGAGTACCTGATCAAGATGTACATTTACGACCCACGCTACAGCTTCCTCAAAGAACGCTGGATCAAAGCCGTAGACAGTTCCATCGCGAATCTAGCCTCGCACCCAGCACCCCGACCAGACATAACCTTCCTCGCAGCCTTTGAAAACACGACGCTCGACCTAGAATCCCAGCATCTCGCCTGTTTCGACGGCGGAAACTTCATTCTAGGCGGCCAAGTCCTCGACCGACAAGACTACATTGATTTCGGTCTCGAACTCGTCAACGGTTGCCACGAGACGTACATTCAGACCGCAACACGCATCGGGCCTGAAGTCTTCTCCTGGAACACCTCCGCCGTACCAGCGAACCAAACATCCTTCTTCAACCAAACTGGTTTCTGGATCGAGAACGCGGGTTACCAGCTCCGTCCCGAGGTCATAGAATCTTACTACTACGCCTACCGCGCGACGTCGGATTCAAAGTACCAGGACTGGGCGTGGGATGCTTTTGTTGCGATTAACGCGACAACAAGGGTTGGTAGTGGGTATAGTTCTATCAAGGACGTGAATGTGGTTGGTGGTGGCGAGTTTACGGACTTCCAGGAGAGCTTTTGGTTTGCAGAGGTGTTAAAGTACAGCTATGCGATTCAGGCTGGTGAGGCGGAGTGGCAGGTTGGGAAAGATGGGGTCAATGAGTGGGTTTACAATACTGAGGCGCATCCGGTTAAGGTCTATGGGGGTGGGAATGCGACGAGAGGGCTGTAAAGAACGCGGTCTGTGAAGAGGCAGAGAAGTAATCTGTAGTAATCGAATTCTGCTGCAGAACAATCTTATTGGCGTCTGGACGCCGGGTATATGATGCAGATGAACGTATTTCCGTGCCGTCAAACTACTCGAAGAAACCACCGTCGCTCTCCTCTGCCTCTTCTTGGGCCTGCACACCGAGTGCTCTCCTCTCGCGACGGTTCTTGGCTGCTGCCAACTTCTCTTCCACCTTTTTCTCTTTGACCTTGACTGGTTGTTGCACTTGCGGCTGTGCCTTCTTTTTCGGTTCCTTCTTGGGCACAGCAGCGGGCATAGCCTCCTTGCTATTCCTCAGCGCGTCCAATGTGCCTTCTGCCATAGCCTCCTCCACAGCTTTCCACATGTCCAAGTCGCCTTTTGGCCCGTCGACCTCGCGATTCGCTTTGTCGTCGGTATCCTCGTCCGCTGCTTCGTCGGAATCGGAGGCCTTGTCCTTCTTCGACTTTGGGTATAGAGATGCGTAGGGTTTCATGAGCGGGTAGTAAATGGCGTAGTTGACATCGACTTCAACGTTGTGCACCTTTCGCGCTAGGTCTTCCTTCTTCGCCTCGTCTTCCTCGGCCTCGTGTTCTTTCTTCAACTTCTTCAGTATCCTTGTGCCCTTTTGACGATCTGAGGCGCGTTAGCAATCGCTTCGTGTTGACTCCCATGCGGGATGCGCAATCTATGACATACCGAAGAATCTTATGTGATGGTACTTTCCAATCATCTTCTTCCTATATTCGGCCTCTCGGCTACTCTCTAGCTTCTCTTGCAACTCATGCTGACAGGCTTCGAGCTCCCTCTCCCTCTCCACCCTGTTGCCCGCGGACATCTTGTGATCGCCTACATTGTCGACGTGCGCAAGCAGTCGCTTCAAGTCTCGTATCCGGCTCTTGAGCGCGTTGGTGCTAGTGCTCTTGTCGATGTCGCTCGAAACGTGCGGCCGTTTCTTCGACTTGGGATGGCTCTGGCCGGGTTTGAAGGCGCGGTGTTTCTTGAACGGTTTGGGCGCAGAGGACGACGACTCGGCCGCGTCGGCATGCTTGCGCTTTTGCGACATGGTGGCTGGCTGAGTTTTGGGATTTGAGAGTTGTTGGCTGGCTGCGGAAATCTTGGGATCGAACGAAGGGAAGTTTTAGTGGGGCGGCAGAATTAAGGTTGCTAGACCGCCCGATGCGCGCCAAGTGAGATCACGCGTCTGGCGTTCACCCACCTGCATGCTCCCGATGTCTTCCACTTGCGCGGTAACTTAGCAAAATCGAGTGTACTGCAATATGCACACGACATCATTCGCTCCGGGTTCTTCCAGACTATTTCTCACTAATTCATGAGTCATCCTTACTCCGCTTTCGGACCTTGAACTTCCATCATCGCGGGAGCGCGATAGTCAGCCAGTGAGATGGAAGCTGCAATAAGATGGTCGCCGCACTCGACCCGAGACAACCCTCGCTTCTTGATCATCGATGTCGCGGGTAATAGGCTACGTCTGTGTCAAATCGAAGAGTTTAGTAAGAGCAAGGTCAACTATAAGCAGATATGCATCCGAGATAAGCTGCCAAACTACACGGCCTTCGACTGGTCCAAGAAGGATCCAAGTGTGGTTGCTGTCGGTTCTGCTTCTGGAGAGGCTACCATCGTTACATTGGATCCGGACAAGCCTGATCACGACTACATCCACTCGTTTTCGATACGACACCAAAGGAAATGCAACTCTATCGCTTTCAGCGCTAAGAATCTACTTGCCACGGGGCTGGATAGAGTCAGGAATGATGTCTGTCTCAACATCTACGATATGAACGACTCACGAGTCACAGCCAAGGATGAACCGTACAAGAAGCTGGCGAGCTCAGAAGCCATCTCTAGCATCAAGTTCTTCAATGGACAGCCTGATATGCTCGTCGCGGGTGTCTCCAGGCAATACGTGCGCATTTACGATCTCAGAGGTGGGTGACACATGAAGCAGTGAATATCCCCTACTCATTCTTCATAGACTCTAGCACAGCGGGCATTGCGCAATTCCAGACACGCCAGGTGCACAATATCTCCATAGACCCGTTGGACGAAAACTACTTTCTATCAGCGGGGACAGCAGGAGATCCAATAGTGACTGTTTGGGACACACGCTTCGTCAAGCAACGAGTGGCGTCCAACGATAATGCGAGCGGGGGCGCCGTCCTTGAGTTCAAGCCAGTCGTGGACAATTCACAGTCGGCTTCTATATGGAGTCTTCGGTACTCTGGCACCAAGCGAGGAACATTCGGAGTACTTGCGAATACTGGGGAATTCAAAATTATCGAATTAGCACAGCACTCTCATCAACCTTCCGAGACAGCGGATACACCTTTCGCTCGAGCATGGGCGTCTCCATACTATACCAAAGCTACGCATCATCTACGCTATGCCTCGCACGACAAACATCATCGGCATGATGAGAAAGAGCGCGTCGTGGCATACGACTTTATGACTACTGGAAACCCGCTCGGTGGACAATGTGCTCTAGCTCTACATTCAAATCGAGAAGTCGAAGTTCTCAGAGTACCACCAATACCACCTCGGATCAACGTAAGCGCGCTGGAGGAGATATACAAAGACCGCACCTGCATCGCTAGGCCGACTTCGCCATTTGGTACGGTAGCAGAGGATCTGATCCAGGTACAAAACAGAGCACTAGGCGACAAGTACGATATCGAACATGATCACAAACCCAACCTCTCCGCCAGCATCGATAGACTGAGCCTCAGCAACAGCCAACGAAGCCTACCTCTTTTGTCGACAGCACACCCCAGCCATCACATGCATGAGGACCTTCTCGATCTTGCGTTCCCTGAATTCAAGATTCCTCTCTCTGATTATCTAGCCGTCCTCCAAGCGCCCAAACGACGTGTCCAGGAAGGCTACTCACTCGATTGTGCCAAGAACAAAGCTATTGTCCACAACGATCCCTGGCTGGTCGATGTGTGGACGCTGATCGACCGCATGGATGCGCATGCCGCAGGAGATGGTATGGTGGGCAACGGTCTCGATCTCAAATATCTGGGAGTCAGCTCAATATGGGCAAATGAACTGACGATGTACGACGAACGACTCATCGATCCGGATACAAAGACAAGTCAAGAGATGTTCAGCGATGCAGTGAAAGAGATAGTCGAGGCCATGGAATTCCCCATCTTCGAAGGCGTGAACACAGAATATCCAGAGAACAGGCAATTGTGTCTCAGTCTCTGCGGCTGGCCCCTCGAGAGAGCTGGCGTAGAGCAAAACTGTCAACGGCTTATAGATGAAGGTGAAATATACAAAGCGATCGTTCTCGCCGTCTTCCAGGGACATAAGGACATCGCACTAACCCTCCTCCGGGCAAGTCTCACGAGTAAGAGGCTCCCACAAGATGACATTGGCCTTGCAGCCGTCATAGCCTGCGCCTCGCCCTCCTCCGGGGTCTCAGCCGAGCAAAGAGAAGCCTGCGCCTGGATGGCCGACATGACCAGCGACGCCTACCTAAAATCACTCCTCACCTACTTCATCACAGGCGAATGGTCAAGCGTAGTCTCGATGACCCAGCTCACCCTCTCCGACCGCGTAGCCGTCGCCCTGAAATACCTACCAGACCCCTCCTTGACCACCTTCCTCACCACCACCACAACAACCGCAACAGCCCAAGGCGACATCTCCGCCCTCCTCCTCACAGGCCTAACTACGCGCTCCCTCTCCCTCCTTCAAACACACATCTCTCACCACCCCACAACCGGCCTGCAAAACGCCGTTCTAATCCTCTCCCGCGCCTGCCCCCTCTACATCCAAGACCCGCGCTGGACCCTCTGGAAAGACATGTACCTCGAGCAACAGCAGATCTGGCGCACCTTCCTCGAGCGCACGCGCTACGTCAAGGAACATAACCTACTCAGTGTAACGCGCGAGGGCAGGAGTGTGAATAAACCCAGTCAACCGAGCTTGACGCTGCGCTGTCTGAACTGCCAGCAGAATCTCGCGTTGAGGAAGGATCCGAGGAGTAGTACGAAGAGATTGCTTCCTACTGCACATCAGGCGGGTGGCATGAACAACGCGCCGTCGACAGCGACGACGACGCATCGTGCCACGGCTTCGTTGTCGTTTGGTGGCGGTGCTGGGAAACCTGCTGCACCGCTGCAACAGAAATCCGCCGCTAGCACACCTGGACTCCATTGTCCGAACTGTGCGGCGCAGATGCCGAGGTGTGCGCTGTGTATGTTGTGGTTGGGCTCGCCTGATCCGAGTAAACAGGGGGCGTACGAGACGCTCAAGGGAGAGGACAAGGAGGGCAGGATGATGGTGTTTTGTATGAACTGTACGCATGGTTTTCATGGTCATCATGCGAGGGATTGGTTTGCTAGGCATGCCATGTGTCCTGTGCCGGACTGTGGGTGCATGTGTGGGTTAATGAAGTGAGGGAGAGTCAACAGTACGAAGTTTCGTTTAGGATTTCCATGTAGCATAGTTCAGGATACGGAGTGCACGAAAGTAGTGGGGAGTAAACAGATATAGTTTTAAGAAGCTGTGCGGCCGTCTGTCCGTGATGCTCCCGGTCTGGAGATCTCAAAGTCTTCCCTATACGCGCTATTGTACCAAGAAAAAGCTAAAGAAACGCAAAAAGGGTATAATCGCCACCGAGGTGCGGCCTGTCAAGACCAACTGTTCGTTTCTGTACCCTTACAGAAACGATGATATCCTATAGCGCCGCTAATGATGCCAAAAAGACTGACACGTCCAAACACCTCTATAAATGCTGAAAAAGCGACTGCGAACAGTTAAAATGTGCGATGCAGACACTAAAGAATCAGGAAAACGTTCGACGGTTGTCCAGTTGACCGCCTTCGATGCTCGCGCGATGCGCGAATTTCCTAATCTTGCCCTGCCATCTCACTGTCGTCGTTGCCGAAGTCGTCTTCTTCGTCAATGGCCATTATGTTCGCTTGTGCGGTGACGACAACCATGTTGTCACCATCCTCTTCCTCGTGGTACATGGTGCCGTCGTTGAGGTCGAAAGCGTTGTCCTCGTTGTCAACGTCGTCTCCACCGTTGGTGTTCATGAAGACGCGCAGACGTTGTACGCCAACGCCGCTGAAGACGCAGAACACTTCACGCTGGTGATCGTTGAATTCGGGGGGTGCCTCGCGGCAAAAGGCGAGAAGATCGTCGCGAAGGAACGCTTGGACGCCAGTGAGAGAGAGGTGGGTCAGGCGGGGGCAGTTGTTGAGGAGCGCATGGATGCCCTGTTCATGTCAGTAACGGCACGGGATTTGTCTTGGGTGGGGCACTTACGGCTAGGGAGAGGTTGGTGCAGTAGCTGAGGTGCACTCTCTCGAGCACGCTGGGTGCGATGGGCCCGCTGGAGCCAATCTGCTTTGGTTTGGCGAGTGCGAGTATGCTGCGGTCCGTTATGGCGGCACACTTGACCAGGCCAATGCGCTTCAGCTTGGGTAGAGCAGCGAGTTGCATGACCGAGGCGTCGGTGAGAGCAATGCAACATGCGAGATCAATGTACCGGATGCGGTTGCATAGCTTGACCAGCTGCGCGACACCGACATCTGTGATGTTGGCGCAATGTCCCAGATGTATGTAGTGGAGGTTCTTGCCCAGACGAGTGATGGCCATGACGGCTCTGTCGGTAATGTTGCGGCATTTGGCGAGGACCAGGTTGCGCAGTCGCGGAGCTGCGTGGACTATCTTCTGGACGCCAGAATCTTGTAGCTCTTCGCAACCAGTAAGATCTAGGATACGCAGGCAGTCGTAGGTAGCCTCGGCTGGGAGACGGAGGAAGGCCTGGTCGGTGATCTTGACGCAGTGGGCTAATCGTAGCTCGCGGAGGTTGGGGCCTTCTGTGATGAGCGTAGTGATGGAGGCATCGTCGAGGTTCTTGCAGTCGTGAAGATCTATTTCGAGGATGTAGCGGCAGTTCCTGGCAAAGGCGATGATGCTCCGGTCGCTGAGTTGCGAGCAGCCATTCAGCTTGAGGCGCTTCAGATGTCTGCAGTTCTTGGCAACTTCCTCGAGCGAATCGTCCGTGATCTTCTTGCAGTTTGTGATGTTGAGGCCCTGCAGGCGGACTGCGTGTTTGGCCAGAGCGAGCATTGACTTGTCGGTGATGGACTCGACGTTGGTGACATCCAGGGCGAGAATGTAGCGGTTTTCCTCGAGCATGGCCTCCAGACTAAAGTCGGACAGTCGTGAGCAGTTGGTCAGCGTTAAGCGCTCAACACGCTTGCAACTTGAAAGCGGTTTCAGCGTCCCGTCGCTGACTTCACCGCCCAGAGCGGACAGATTTAGACGCTTGATCAGACTGCTGTAGTCGAAGAAGCTGTTGACCGTCTGGACCGTCTTTATGACGCTCTTGACGTTTGACCATTTGTTCGTTGAGGGGCGGTGCCAGAGCAGGCCGACGCTGTTTCCAGCCCATGTCTTAGACACGAGCATGCAGTTCTTGAGGTCGGCGGGCGAGGAGAGCTTTGCGAAGACGGCGATCATGAGCTCGGCGGGTAGGCGGGAGACGGGCGAGATGCGGTTCTGCTCTTCGATGGCCCGCCGGCGAGCCTCCTCGTCCGAGTCGGGCGATACTGACGGCGCGAGCGACGAGAGCGAGTCGTTGGACTGCAGCATGATAGAGTCCTTGTCTTCATCGTCGTAGCCGCGCTCGGGCGAGGTCGAGGCGGAAGAGTCGGAGCGCGAGGTGCTGGCGTCTCTCTGGGGTCGTCGTGAGCGCGCCGTGGTGCCTTGTCGGACGCGGGCGAGTCGTGGGTTTTCGGCCATGGTACCGGGCGTGTCAGGAGTCGCGGGGGGTTCGGTTTATAGAGACGGGCAGGCGTGATTGCGGTGGGCGTAGAACAGCGTCTAAAGGGCACAATCGGTGTGCTGGTATACGCGGCGGCTGGCGGGTATATGGGGCAGCCCGCTTACTCTACAAATACAACAACAACAGTGCGGACTGGAAACGAGAGCGGAGGAGGCGACTATCTTGACGCTCCTAAATAGGCACAGGCGAGGCGACAACACACGACACGACAGTACGGAGGTAGAGAGGGAAGGGTCAAGTCGTCTGGGCAGTCATGGGTGGGTCGCTGCCCATCGTCGCATCCCGCCAAGGTCCTTCCCTGCAACTCAGCTCGCCGCCCGTCCAAACACGACGTCCTCGTCTGCCTCAGTGCTCTCCCACACGACGATCCCTCTGTTCCTCCTCCACCGCGCTTACACTGCAGGGTCAACGCTTTGCCATGTTTGCTGTCGGCATCACGGCCGCCCTCACCCCCGACCTGCACACTACCACGGCCTCATGTGCTCTAGCATCGTGCACGCCTAAGTCTTCTTCCCCCGCCATCGTCATATGACACAGCCGCGTCCAAGTCGCGTCGTGTGCAGTAAGTCCAATGTTGCCATGACTGCAGGTTGTACGGCAGACTGTTGTGGAAGCCGCGACCCCGCGCCTATGCCTGCCATGATCGAGTTGGTGCTCCTTCACCGTCACTGACCGTCTTGACTCTGTCTGCTCACTTGCGTGTTTGAACACAAGGACCCCTCATCCGGGGTTTACAACAAAAGCAACTTCGCAATGACATGGGCCGCGTCAGTCAGGAACCTGCCGTCTCCGTCTGCGTCTGCGTCTGTATGTGCAGCTAGATCTCTCGGTACTTGTTCGAGTTGTTGCATCCGTGGTATACCCATCTGGAGATCTAGAGATCGACAGGGCCGTTGTCTTGGGCTTTTCACATCGCCCTCTCTATTGACTATTCGATCTGTGAGGTCGTCGAAGAAGGAATCATGGGGCTTGCATATCTGATAGTCTACCTTTGCTGTACCTCGTGCTGTACACTCATATCAAACTACGCAGCGTAGTCAACATCTGCTACCTTCTGGAGCATGTTACACTAAGCCAGTCCGTGGAATAATGTATTGACCAAAGCAACCAACCAGCTCGCATGCGTTCACAAGTCGTAATGTTGCACGAAACGTCTTGGTGGTAGGTTGATCTGGCTGCGAACATCAAGCTGTGCCCAATGAACACGTCGGGAGAGAAACCACGTACTCTACCGAATAAAGTGCCCCAGCTTGGCGCTACATGCCCGGACTACAGCTTCCTCGAGTCCGTGATACTGAAATAGTCGTCTGAGGAGCAGAGAGAGTAAATAGACATGTCCGCTCCCGGCGTGCATGCCCGAGGCGTCGCGGTCTAAAGATACATTGTGACGTTGGTGTGGCTTCGTCCATGCGCTCGTGGATGCAAGGGTCCGTTTCCTACGGTACGATCACAAGCATCGCCAGGCATGCCACCTTCACTCCACCTCACCACCCGTCCCCCCGTCTCGCGTCCGAGAGCCACCCCCGCCCTGTCTGTCTCCTTTTCGATGCGCAAAATATAGCCTCGTCGTTGTCCTGCACCGCAGCAGGCTCCCTCACCGCCCAACATGTCCACCGCTCGCTATGCGCCCTCGGCCGCCCATCCCATGGCCCAGCAGGCCGCATACCGCGCTCCCGCGCCCATCGCCGTCTCCAATGCTCCCCCGGGCACCTTTGCGCCCGGCACCAAGGTCCAGGTCGGCAACCACCGTGTCACCATCGAGAAGTATCTCTCCGAGGGTGGTTTCGCGCACGTCTACCTCGTCCGCGTGCCCAAGTCCGATAATGGAACCCCCGAGACTGCCGTCTTGAAGAGGGTAGCTTGTGCGGACAAAGATGCACTGGCGAACATGAGGACCGAGGTCGAGACCATGAAGAAGCTCAAAGGCCACAGCAAGATCGTCACCTACATGGACTCGCATGCTTCACAGCTGAAGACAGGAGGCTATGAAGTATTCCTGCTCATGGAGTTTTGCTCAGGAGGCGGCTTGATCGACTTCATGAACACCAGGCTCCAGCATAGATTGACGGAGCCTGAAATTCTGCACATCTTCTCAGACGTCGTCGAGGGCGTTGCTACCATGCACTACCTCAAGCCGCCGCTCCTCCATCGCGATCTCAAGGTCGAAAACGTCCTGATTACCACCGTGGGAGGCAACAAGATATACAAACTCTGCGATTTCGGATCCACCGCACCCCCGAGACCCGCCGCTACAACTGCCGCTGAAGGGAGACTGATCGAGGACGATGTGCAACGGCACACTACACTACAGTATCGCAGTCCGGAAATGATCGACGTATACCGCAAACAGCCAATAGACGAGAAGAGCGACATCTGGGCGCTGGGTGTACTATTGTACAAGCTATGCTACTATACTACACCCTTCGAAGAGGTCGGACAGATGGCTATTCTGAACGCCACGTTCAAGTACCCAGCGTACCCCCAGTTCTCAGACAGGATAAAGAAGCTCATAGGTATGCGCAGCAAGACTAGGCCATGGACGAATACTGATTAGCAACAGGCTCGATGCTGCGAGAGAACCCACAACACAGACCCAACATCTACCAGGTGGTCGCCGAAGTCTGTTCGATGCGACACCGTCCCATTCCTATCAAAGACGTATGTTTGACATATTGGCTTCACGGCCCCATGCTAAGACCAGCCAGATCTACTCTGGCAGAACTCAGTCAGAAGCCCGCCGGAACCAGGAACTTCCCCCTACCGAGCCTCAGGTCTCTTCGCCGCCTCCTGTCGTGGGTCTGCAAAGGGTGGCACCTACAGTGCAGGTACAGCAAGTACCAGACATTACACCAATGAGAAGAGGCAGGCCCACAGGTCCAGCCCAGCCACCTCCAGCGGCAGCAAGGCCAAGTCCGTCGCCTATGAGAGGGACAACATCCGACCCATTCGCTGCACTAGACTCGCAGGACGTTCAGGTCAGACGAGCTGCGGCTGATGAGCTGGCGTCGCGCTTCCCATCTCTGGATGAATTTTCATTACTGCATGATCGAGGCCAGAAGTTTGAGTTTGGTGAAGCGCCAACGACTTCCGACCCGGCACTTACCAAACGGATGACAGATGCGCTTGCAGATGAGGCTTTTGCGTCACCGCCGCTCTCCAAGGTCGACTCAACACCTGGGGTAAAGCCCTCGACCGCAGTGTCCTCCACGGGTGTGTCCAGGACCACCTCTCTAAGAAAACCGCAGCCCTACGAAGCCAAAGACAGTCCGCGCAATGACAACGCAAGCATACAGTCGCCTATTCCACAGCGGGTCGGCATGGTCTCTACTGGCGTACAGACTTCCCCACGAGCATCTCCCGTTCCAGCCCAGCAGAAACTCCCCGATGTCAACAACCGGCCTATCTGGAAGGTACCTCTGTCATCGCACCACAACCGTGCTTTGAGTCAACAGGCGTCAGAACCTCGCCCGAGGAGTCCCTTGAGCAGTCCGTCACTGAGGCCCGAATTCGCTTTGCCTGCACGGCCCTCTTTTGAGTCGAGATCCAAATCTCAACTCAGCATCCCTCAATCCCCGGCTTCATCTAGACCTTCGTTAGAAAGCCAGCGTCCCTCCAATATGGATCTAGGCTCCGCCATTGATCGGTCGAGATCTGCAAACTCAAATGCACGCCCGGCTAGCATGCATGTAGAGTCGAACCTTGACTATCTACGTGATCGAGAAATGACGCCTGGTCGTAACTTTGACGCTCCATCATTACAACGCCGCGTCACTGCAAACGCAATCGATGACTCTGAACCTGAAGAGAAGAACGTCAGGTCAAGCGTTGATTTCCTCCGCTCCATCGAACAGGATGAGCATGGTCACAAACACCGCCGTAGTAGCTCCCGAAGTAGCCAACAAGGCAAATACGGAAAACGTGGTAGCATCACGAACATCGTCAAGGGAAGGTTTGGTGATGCCTTCCGTCGCTTTGAGTCCACGAAGACGCCTGAGCACGAACGCGATCAGCCGCCCATGACACCAACCGACCAGCTCATCGATTCCAAGGGCGGTTTGACTCCCATTGCCGGCTCCGAAGCTACTGGTGGTTTGAGTGACGACGACCGCAGCCAGATCGACGAAACGCAGGATCTATCACCAGAAGTTCGAAGAGAACTTGAGAAGAGACAGTTGGCTGAAGAAGAGCGCCGCGTCGAAGCTGCGGCAGCAGAGTACAAGCAACGCGTCGCTTCGCAAGGGCAAGGAAAGCCCAAAGGCGGCCCATCCAAAGCTTCATCCATCCAAAACCGCGTCAAGAACCTGCTCGATGAGAGCAGCAAGCCAGCAGCTTCGAACCGCACAGCTGAGGGATACGGCAAGTACACCGATACCGGAAAGCCACTGCCCATGCGGCCCCAAGATCAAAGCGGAGCAAGGCAGCCACCTGCCATTGCTCGTAAGCCCATGAACGTCTCTTCACAACAACCTCAAGACCTCCCGTACGCGAAGCCGTCTTCGATTCGGCCAAACATGCCTCCACCAACACCCTCCGCGTCCGCACCGCCCACAATCAATGTGCGCAACCCCTCCGGCCCCCCTCCCCGGGCTCCCAAGCCCAAAAATCTGCAGACCGGCGGCTCAGTAGCCCCGGGCCAAAGTTCACCGGTGAAATTAACCCCAGGCACCAAAGAGAAGCCGCTCCCGCCCATCGCCCGCGACGGCGGTGACGACTTCGACGTCGACACCTTCAGCAAGCGGTACCCCAGTCTGAGCGGTTTGGAAATGGTAGAGACAGAGATTCCCCGCCGTACCGTCCGCGACGTCTAAGCAGCGTCTGTTTGAATTTGCTCAGTGTGTTAAGGTTTAGATCCATCTATCTCCTGTACCTTTTTTTGAAGCGTTTGCATAGCATGGGGCAAGGGATCAGCATTATCAGACATATCGCAATATATATGTAGAGTGAGGGAGTGTTGGCAAGAATATAGAATTATTATTGGGACGAAAAGGGATTCTGGATTGTGATGTTTCCTCGCCCCTTTCTATCTTTTGAGTCTGTCCCGGATAGAGACAATTCGTGAGATTTATCTATAGTGGGATCGGGTTGCTCACTTAAGACCACAAAGACGACGGCATAAGAAGCTGGTCAGCTGTGTTTAGCAGTGAAGAAGTTAGAGAAAAAGTATCGGCGAAGTCTCACACTTGTCAACATGTGAACCCTAATTTTCTGCATGATCATCCCGCTTCAAACCATTTCGCATCGACGGCAGCACATTCACGTAGCATTTCGCAAAGCTACTGCAAGTTTGACGTTCATTCAATCCTTTCTCATTTGGTATCATGGCCTGATGACCTGTCTAAATCCATGCAACCCATCACATCGTGAACCCTATATCCGCCCTTCCATCCCTCCTAAACTCCGTATCATGCCGACGTGCGACCGAATCGATGCAGTGGAAGGTGGATTATGCGAGACAAGTCGTGTGTTGATGGGCATCGTGCTCGCGGGTGAGGCACGTTTACTGCTCGGTCTGGAAGTAGTTGAGGAGGATGCTGCGCTCCTGGGACTCCTCACCCCAGTCCTTGACGACGACGCAAGAGCAGTTGACGACCTTGCGGGGGTTACCCTCACGGTCGATCTGGCCTGTTGAGATTGTTAGTCGTTGTTCAATCTTGACAATGGGTGGTGTTGCGCGCAAAGTTTTCCAATCTTCAGCACTCCACCACGGGATAAAACGTACAGAGACCGGCCCACTCGCCGAGCTGCTTGCCATCGGGAACCTTGATGAGGGGGATCTTGTGCTCGGAGCACAGGGCAACGACGAGCTTCTTGTATGCCTCCTCCTCGCAGGCCTCGTTGAGAACGCACATGTGCGCCTCACGACGGTCCAGGGCCTTGGAGGCCTCGCGCAGACCACGGGCAAGTCCGTCGTGGATGAGGGAGAGCTTGAGGACGCCCTTGAGAGCCTCAAGGACGCTCATCTGGCCCTTGCCACCGGATGCATCGGCAGAGACCTCGACCTCGGCGGCCGCGCTGACTTGGGATTTGGTATCGTCTTCTCCGTCCGACTGTTGGCGACGTCAGTGATATTCTGGGAGTGTAAAGCGCGGGGTTGCGGTGCTGAGCGCTGTGCCATTCTCGTTGCGCCACGGGCAGCTCGACTCGCAGCTGGGACAAAATTCCACATACCATGATTGATGATTTCTATCTGTCGACTTTCCTCGAAGAGAGTTGGTTGTGGTGATAAGGAAGTTCGAAGTTCGGCGGCGGCTCGAATTTCGCACTCTGTGGAGACGCTAGCCTGAAGAGATGCTAGCGCACGGACAAGCTAACCAGCACTTCCAGCAGCACCAGAAGATGGTGAAAGTCATGTTGCTTCCTGTCTACAAAGGAGTGATTCTCAAGATTAGGTACATTACAGAAGGTGCACTCACTTCACTTAGGTACAGTGAAGGCTAATGAGCAGATGGCCTTTGTAGGCGTTCAACTTACCACAAAGCGTTCCCTCATCCACATCAGAAGCGAGGCTACGTCACTCTCCTGCCGAAATGATAATTCACGAAAAGAGGTTGAGCACATTCACAGTTTCGAACAATTGATATCATTGTATGTCTGTACATTCTACTACCACGACACAGTTCCATCGCTGCTGCTTGGACCTGCCGTAGCCATGTCTCCTACAAACATTTCTCATCCTCCTACTGAGGCCATTGCTAGCCATGGACATGGAAGTCCCATCTCTGTATACGATAAACTAAGGAAATACGGGCGGTCGGCCGATCGGATATGCTCATGGATGTAAAAGTATCCCAAGTCAGATAAAAGAATACAAACGCCAGACGCACAGACTGTACGGAGGGTTTAGAAAGATAGCAAGTAGTAACACGAGAATGATCGCTGAACGCTATCAGCCCAGGCGTGTAACGAGTTGAATGTAGAGAGGAATGTAGCCACCAAGCCAAAGATTGTGCTCCAGTAACGCCGTACAATGAAGGAAACCTGTCTTTGAACGCAGTTGGTGTAAGTAAGGAATGAAATGGGTATATAAAGCAGTGAAAGCTACATGACGATGCAGCAGCAGCCCTTCTTCTCCTTGAGCTCCTCCTTCGGCTCCGGCACGCGAGTCACCTCAGGCTTTGGCTCGGCCGGGGCGATAGGAGGGGCCAGCTTTGGCGAAGGAGCACGCTCGGCACCTTGAGGTATTTTCGGTGTCAGGCTGTAGCCGCCTTCGTTGACCGGGGATTTGGCGGTGTTTGTGTCAACCTTCTCAAGCGATGCGGGTGAGTCGGGCTTTGTCGGGCTGGGAAGTGGCCAGGTCTCAGCCTCTCGGGCCTTCTCGATGGCGATGGGGTCAAGGTTGGCGAGCTGTGAGAGTCGCTTATCCCCCATGTCGTCGTCGTTCAACAACCGGAAGTCTTTGTCGTACATGGATCCAACCCTCCCTTGGTTCTCCCATTGTTCTTGTTGCATCCGCTTGGCATGGGTGGGGATAATCTGCTGGTCTGGAGGCAGACGCGGGTCGGGCTTGTACATGGACGCTATCCATGGAGCCTCGCCTTCCGGTCGGTGGCTGGTGGTAGGCCTAGTTGTGTTTGACCCGCCACTGGTACGTGGACGGTTTGGAGGCGAGTTGTTGGATGTTACCCGGGACCTAGGCTGTGTCTTCTGGGCACTGGTTTTGCGTGCTCCAGTAGCGTTCGTTTTGCCAGGCGTCTTGGCTTTCATAGGCGACTTCTGGGGCGATTTAGGTGGACTCCAGCTTCCGGTAGAGGTATTGCGCCTGTGGCTACCGTATGGAGGCGTCGTCTGCCGGCCATCGTCGACATCGTCGAGCAATGCTTGGCTGCCTACACTGCCACTCCGTACGCGTGCACCCATGGTAGCGATCGCGTCGCCGTTCCAGTTTCCACTGTTTCCTCTAGACCTTGGCAGCGGCGCGTCACGTTCTGCCATTGAAGCAGGTACAGGTATACCGCTCGTCTTGGGCAGAGGAATGCGAGACGTACTAGGCCTCACAGTGTGGTTTGTTCGCTGAGAAGATGGTTGGAACTCGGTTGTGCCGTCGGCCCCTGGGCTCCAGGCATGGTATTCCTCCGTCGCATCCTCATCCTCAGCTGGTATCGTGGATATGCGTTTGCGGGGCTCGGTTCGCTCTTCGCCGTTCTGCGTGTGGTCCGTGGATGCAGAGTTTGTGCGGTCTCGCGCACGTCGCGTGGCGCTTTGCGAGCGGCTGTTCGACCTGCTCGACCGTCCAACCCTGAAGCCTGCCTCCTCTAGTTCCCGAGTCTCAATCTCCTTAAGCTTGTCTCGGTGTATCCAGTGGTTTGCGTCATACTCGGGCTCTGTTGCACCGGGCTTGGTCGTCTTCTTCTTGGGCTTTCCCTTGACCGAAACGGGGCCCTTTTTGTTGTTGGTGTGACTCTTGTAGTACTCCAACACACTGTCCTGGTCGATGTTGCTGGCAATCATGTCTCCACTTTTCTTCTTGTGCAGTTCGTTCATGCGGTCAGGGACCAGCTGTGAGCGGTTCTGGTCCTGTGAGTCCCACGTGGGCGAGCGTACGGGCTTAACAAATCCGTTGGCTTGCGAAGTGAGGGGCTGTCGGGAACCGTGGGCGGGAGCACCGTATTCAGACATGTAGGGCTCCTGGTCGTATGACTGTCTCTGCACAATGGTCAGCACGCTACTACTCGCACATTGACATCACTGTAGGCAGGCGTTAAAATTGCACTGTGAGTGGGCGAACTTGGCGGTCAGATGCGCCATGGGGAGGGCCGCAGTAGTGCACCTAGTGTCCCAGCGGAGTCGTGCCGGACCCAGATGACGCAGCTTTACAGAGACTAAACTTGGTACGTACCGAATCGTTCACAGGCACGGCAAAGTCCCACGATCCTCCTGCGCCGTGGGAACTACTGGGGGGCGTGAGTTGCTGGAGTGAAGCTGGCGTATGGCGGGATGATGCGAAAGTAGCCATGGACGGGGCTGCGAGGTGGCTGGGGACCAACCGATGACGTGCCGGAGACTATGAGGCGGTAGACAACGGCGGCGTAGGCGTACGAGACAGTCGACGTCGGGTGACGACGCAACCAGGAGTGTCGAGGGCGGAGAAGGGGCGATGCCGGGCAGAGACCGCGACCGCTGGCAGACTGCGGTGTACAAGTAGCCTTACGGTTGCAAGGTCCTTATTATAAAGCGCTGTAGCTATAAAAACAATGCCATGGGCGAGAAGGAGGCAAGACGTCGGTGTGGGGACGCTGGTCGGAAGTTGTGAGGGGTGGTTTGCATGCGCGTGCAAGCAACTTCCCTGTCTGGTGAGGGTGTGGTGCTGGCGCGTGCGATCAGAAGGGAAGTGAAGGAGAATTACAATGAGAGACAAGCAAATATTAGCGATCGGAAACGCCGCCGCGCACGATGAGCCCAGCCACGGCAGTGACAATGATTCGTGAGAGAGTCGCGACGGGATGCAGGAGCCCTTGGAGAAGAGGATTTGGGAGCGTTGCGAGTCTTGCTGGGGAAGATGGTGATTCGCCCTTGGCTGCAGCCCGCTCGGGCCTCGTCTAATCTGCGCCGCGGCCAAAGAGGAATGGCTACATCATGGGTCCAACTCCTTAAACGCGGACGGCCTTGCTACATGCGCATGCAAAAAGCACTGAGTACCTGCATGTAGTTCGCGATTCTAGACATGCAGAGTCTTTTTCGCTGTTTGACCACGTCTCCATCGCCAACTCCCAAACACCTAGATACCACGCGACGGATAAACACTCGCAGGCACCCATGAACCCAGTTTGATTGTTTCCCTGTTATGCACACAGCCTGAACAGTGCACAACTGTCTTGACAAGCTTCCGTCTCCCTGCGCCTTTCCCGTTCCTGACAAGATAGCCTCCGGCAACGGCCCACAGTCCGCCGTCATGGAGATCGGGCGTGGTCCAGAGGCGGTCAGCGGTTTAGGATTTGATCTAACGGCTAGCCCGAGGTATTCATCGAATGTCCAAACCTTCGCACGAGAAGGTTGTGGTGTAAGTTGGAGATCCCGGTTTGCGGGAAGAGGCTTGATCGATGCGACCCACTGTCAATACCCAACTGCCGGGTTGACGGCAGGAGCAAGGCTGATGAGCAGCTCAGATCTCATAAATGCGCCTGCTATGAACTTGTCCATCACCAGCCGAACGTCTCGTCGTACCAAAACACGTCGTGTCCCTTCTTAACCCAAATCTCAACGCTTCTCTTGAGATCGTCCGTCAGCCTCTTCGGCCCGCAGCAGATTACCGCCGTTTTCATACCCTTGCTAAACACCTCATCGACAACGTTACTCAGATCCGGCCTTCCGCTTCTGACAAGCATCCCCTTTCGCGGCTTCTCTATCTGCTCTTCCATGCTCAGCAGCTGCTCGTTCTCTTGCATCTCAATGCCCTCTCCATCCTCGTCGTCGTCAATGGCGAAGACGCCAGCCGCGCTCGCGTCAACTTGCATGTTGGGTCCCGAAGGTCGTGTAACGTAAACCTCGACATGTTGCGGGCCTTGTAATAAACCATGCTCGTTCGCATCGGCCGCTGCGTCATCTTCGTGTTCGTCATTCGGCGTGGAACTTGCAGGGAACGCCCACTGCGTTTCGGCCAGCTTCTGAACCGCCCAAATGCACCGGATCTGGGTACCTGCAGGTGTGGGGTCGTGCAAGTCGATGATGCTCCGATAGATGGGCATGATGAATGTTGCACCAACCCCGCCAGCTACCAAAAGGACTTTGTCAAAGTCTGATAAATCAGGTAGTCGGTTGGAGGCTCCGTATGGTCCTTCGAGGGAGAAAGGCAGTATGGGAATGTCACCGCCAGCTGTGGGTAGCATGGGCACATTGCTTCCCCCTTGTGACAAAGAGCGCGCCAGTTCTCCCAGATACTTGGTGTTGCCGTTGAGCGTCCTTGCAATGAGGAGTAGTTCTTTGTCTTTTGACGGGAGAGACGCAACCGTGAAGGGGTTCGTCTTATTCGTCATAAGCCATTGGTCGTACCATGTGGGAGCCTTTCCTCTGATATGCGGTCTGCTGAGGTACACGTGCTGGCCAGGCTTCCAATTAAGCGCAGCGCTTTCTGCCGGCAGCGGGATGCGGACCTGGACGAGATTGGTGCCCGGCAGAAGTCTGAGAGTACCTTGGTACATCTTCAGACATACAGCTCGGGAAATGACATGTAATGCCTCTACCGCAAGAATCTCATAAACGTAGATGCGGATATGAGATACGTGCAGATACAGGGGCACGACGATGAAATTTGCAATAGCGATATGAGAGATGTAGAACACTCGATAGTTCTTGCGGCGTATGAATCCGAGGGCAGTCGTGGAGATGGTGGTGAAGAGGATGATGCTCACAAGGCCCCAAATGACGTCCCAGTCCTTAATGCGCTTTGCTAGAAACCCTGATAGAACAAAGAAGTTCAAATACAGGGCCGTATGCATTAGGAAAAGCAGGAATGTGATGCGTCCCAGGGTCTGATGCGAGGCCTTGATTTGCTCGTGGGAAAGCCGTGTCAGCCATTGCACAGGACTCCATGGTGCTCGCACTGCCAGTAAGTAGTGAATTGGTAGCTGCGACGCGCCAACTTGTCCGAAACGCTTGGTGAGATGGAGATAGTCTACATATTGTCAGTAGTAGACGCGAACGTCGGAGATCTTAAGTCCATACCGTTCCCGGTGTGAGCAATGCAAAGATACAGCAACCACACTGTCCAGACGCTGGCTCCGATCCATTCTCCTCTTGTGCCCCAGTTCCAGCCCCGAATGACATCCTTTCGCATCCACCAGCTCATCCTGCTACATCCGGTCTGTATGCTTCGCAGCCATCCGAGCCTGTCCTTTGGCCGTTTGGTGAATGACGGTGATTTGGGCTGATCAATCTTCAAACCGGTTTTCATCACCCACGAAAAGGCGAAGCCAATCTGAAAGAGCGCAAATATGACCAGGACGGACCATTGTGCGACGAATCCGTACCATTCCAGATATTCCCGGCGTTGATGTTTCTGCTCGTCGTTCAGGCTTTCAAAGTAGTACCCAAGTGCCCAGTATTGATCTGTCTTGACCTCATGGTGGCCTTTATGACGCCGAAAGAGGTCCATCTCAAAGCCCCTTCTGGACTATCAATGCTGCGTATCGCGGATAAGAATAACCCTTGCAGTAGCTAAGCTTCACAGCGTACAAGTCCTCATCAAGAGGATCGAAAAGGTTTGCCTGCAGCGCAGATTATAGAACGAATGCGTAGCGACCGAAGGAAACAAGGCCAAGTGTTGGACGGTGATGTTGAGGAGTTGTGTTGTATACGTGTGCTTGTAACGGTGCAAGACTTGGATTCGGACTTTGCTGATGCAGGGCTGACGGCGCCAGTGATGCCGGCCAATCGAAACGTGCTCAAAGCACGAGCTGAACACGTTCCTTCTGCCGTCGCTCGCTTCTTGGACAAGCCGGTGAACACAGTCTTATAGAATGAGAGTCGAGCATCGACGAGAATGGGCGTAATTAGAGATGCGCGTTCCTGGGTCCTCAGCCAGTAGCGGTGCAGCAACCCCACCAGACATCCCGCCTGCAACCCTGCATGTGCATGCAGTGCATGTGGTACGTATCTGCAGTTGAAGCTGCATCTATATAGACACACAACTGGTAGACGCATATAACACCATGACCAACACTCCTTCCAAGACTCCGATCTGGCTCGACTGCGTGTGTATCCGCTCGCGCTTTCCTTATACGTAGTGCTGACCAAGGAAGGATACTGGGCATGATGTGAGTCTCCGATAAGCTCTCCCCCACACGCTGCTCATCACCACCCCAGGATGCCTACGCCCTCCTTCTCTGCGCGCACGACCCCAAAGTCGAGCTGCTTGGTGTGAGCACCGTCCATGGCAATGCTGCGCTCGACCAAACCACATACAACACTAGGGCAATCCTCGAGGCAATCGGAAGGCGCGACGTGAAGGTCTACTCGGGCGCTGCGAAGCCAATCATACGCGATGCTGTACATGCCGCTGACATTCACGGTATGCGCGACCCCATCAGTCCCCATGAGTGCGCGCTGACAAGAACAGGCGAGTCCGGCCTAGACGGCGTGACGCTGCTTCCCAAGCCCGTCGAACCAGCAGCTACCGATGTCGACCACCTCGAAGCCATGTACCGAGCGCTCATCGCTACCCCCCAGAATACCGCCTGGTTGGTCTCTACGGGCACCTTGACCAACATTGGTCTGCTATTCCAGAAATACACAGATCTAGCGGCTCATCTCAAAGGCCTGAGTATAATGGGCGGTGCAGTCGGTGGCGGCTTTACGGATGCGCCAATGGGCACAGTTCAAGGAGAAGGTGAACGATTTGGCAACTGGACACCCTATGCCGAGTTCAACGTATGCCACAATCTACATGCATGGTGTCATTCGACAAGCTAACGACCCCCGCAGATCTACGTAAAGACACCGACCCATCGCATGCTTGGAGAATGCTGACAACAATAGTGTGACCCCGAAGCATCTCACTTCATTTTCTCGCACCCCGTTCTCAAATCCAAGACGACGCTCATCCCTCTCGACCTGACGCATCAAGTCCTCGGTACGAAGAAAGTCCGCCAAACACAACTATATGGAGACGAGATATGGGATCAGTCAGTCTCAAAGAGTGACTACACACCCTCAGCTATGCGGGCCTTGTTCACCCAGATCATGTCGTTCTTCGCTGGCACGTACGCTGAGGTGTTCTCCATAACCGAAGGACCGCCGTTACACGATCCTCTCGCTGTAGCGGCTGCCTACAATCCTAGCATATTCGACGACAAGGGTGGCGAGCGCTTCCAAGTGGATATTGTCACGGAAGGCCTTCACTCGACAGACAAGTCAAAGGTTGGTGAACTTGGTAGAACAAAGGTCACGAAGCTACCGAACGGGGAAGGTGGCTGTCGTATACCTAGAGGCGTTAATCTTGATGACTTCTGGGGCAGCATCGAAAGTGCACTGAAACGTGCAGACGCCGTCAGCCCAATGCCCAAGATTTCGGAGAAAGAATTAGAGGAGGCCGGTGTTTTCAATGGAGTTGGAAAACTACAACGATGAGCGCCTAAGTGTACCACCGCGTAAGACTATGGTAGTCCAGGGAAAGGATAGAACGAGACAATACGAACATTTCAACTCCAGACACTGCGGGAGTCTGCCGGAGAATTCAGCCGTAACCAACGAACTTCCATTTAGCCTGATCTCAACATTCCGCGTACCTTGCAGTGCCAAGCCTGCTAATCGAAGGCCACAATTTTTACGACGGCCTGTACTGATAGGACTCCACCAATTGGCGTCTACTGGCTCTATCCCACGTGCGCACAGGCCGTGTCGGGATCCAAACCAGTGGCATACCAAGCTCGGAATGAACACCACGAGATCCCGCGGTTAATCGCATCATGGTCCAGACAGCCAGGTCACCTTTCGCAATGCTAATACTCTCATGTTCGTGGGAACCCCAAGATATCTCAGTACAATGCTAACTTTAGACGTTACATACAGTTCTGCAGACGAAGTCTGGCTACAACAGCGATGGTAGAAATCTCCAATGCATACAATGGTATACGAGCATGAACGATACCAAGCCCGGGTCTCTACAGGCCGTCTCGGAATCGGACCGCATGCTGAGCTGTACAGAGCCATATGGCAATCTCGAATGCGGGGAACACCCGAAGAAGATGTGATATGCACTTCACTTCCATATAACATATGCTACGCCTTCCAACTGTAGACTCACCATCACCACGAAGATGAAGTCCTCCGTTTTCCAGCTGCTCCTTCCGCTCGTGCTCGCCTCCCCAACTCCGGCCCCCATATACCCACACCCCAAACAGGGTTCCCATCCCAAACTTGCTCCAGGTCTCGGCGATCTCGCAAAGAAAGCTGGACTAAAGTATTTCGGCACCGCCATTGACAACGTCGTCCTCGATAACGACAAGTACACCTCGATAGCCTTCAACCGCTCCGAATTCAACCAAGTCACCCCATCCAACGGCCAAAAATGGATACATACAGAGCCCCAACGCAACGTCTTCAACTGGACGCTTGGCGACGAGATAGTCGATCCGAGCAAAGATGCGCACCAAATGCGGCGCTGCCATACCTTCCTCTGGCACCAGCAACTTCCCGACTGGGTGAACAACGGCAACTGGACCAAAACTAGTCTCCTCTCCGTCCTAGAAACACACATAAAAACGGTCGCAGACTACTACTGGAACGACTGCTACGCCTGGGATGTTGTAAACGAAGCATTCGAAGACGATGGCACGCTGCGGAAGTCCATCTGGCTCGATATCATCGGCCCAGAGTACATTGAACACACGTTCCGTCTTGCAAGAAAGTACACGAGCCCAGGCACGAAATTGTACTACAACGACTACGGGATTGAGAGGGTGAACAACAAGAGTCTGGCTGTTGCACGCATGATCAGCGAGTATCAACGGGCTGATGTGCCAATTGACGGTGTAGGATTACAGGCGCATTTCACAGTGGGCAGAGCGCCAACTTATGACGATGTTCGGGCTTCGCAGCAGCTGTTCTCCGTGTTGGGCTTAGAGACGGCGTTAACGGAGTTGGATGTTCGGATCGGGCTGCCTGATAATGCGAACAAGACAGCTGCGCAGGCGGCTATCTATGCGGACTCCGTGCGAGCGTGTGTTGATGAGGAGAGCTGCGTTGGAGTCACCGTTTGGGACTTTTGGGATCCGGTTAGTTGGGTGCCGGAGTCTTTCCCGGGTAATGGGAATGCTTGCTTGTGGGATGAGAATCTGGAGAGGAAGCCGGCGTATTATGCTATTGCTGATATGCTGAGGGAGGCGGCGGCGAAGAGGGGATGAGCTGGGAGACATCGGGCCTAGAGTTTGAGAAGGTGCGCATTGTAGATTCATCGTTACAGCAGTGTTCTGTCTTGCGGAATGTTGCGGGTTCCATTTTACATGCCGCATCCTTACATGTCTATGGGCTTCTTCAACAAGTAGGATTTTGCCTGGGCGCTGCAAGGAATGCGCAGCATGCCACGTGGATTTTCAACAAATATACCTCTATCAACCCTTGCATATCAGTATGGTGAACTCATGGAATATAGAGTGATGCAAATTTCATGATTGTGTAGCTTTGAGCCGTGCAATGTGGTAAAAGCTAGGAAAAAGCCATGTTGTTTCATTGAGTTTTCATTGAGTTTTCCTTGCATGTAGATGTCATCTGCATTGGTTTGGCGGTTTGTAAGACAGCGTTGAGACAATCTGGAATTCTAGTCTCAACGCGATCATCGATGAACTGCTGACAACGAAGATAGTTGTGGAGGAGGAAGTACCTGTTGGGGCTTGGCGACTGAGAATCAAGAATTCCGCTCTGCCGTACTCTTGGTGTTCGTGCGGGACGAGAACGCGGATGCATCGGCAGACAGGCACAGAGCCTGATGGGTGCTAAGACCTGTCTCCTATCTTCCAAGGCCCTCCGCTGATCTTGGATGACGGCGCAGAGGCGTGGCGTCCGTCATGGTGCAGATAGGAGACACGTGTGGCGGTGCTGTGGCTTGCTGGTTCGTCAACTGCGACGCGCATTCTGGCTGCTCAGGCACGGTGTTACAGGCAACTGATTGCATGCATCATACTTGATGTGTGTACACGCGTCTCCTGCTTGGTAGATGCATGATGTTACAGAGAGATCAGAACTAAGTCATTCGAGGCGGTGATGTGTATGTGGTTAGATGCGCTGGTTCATTAGAAACGAAGAAGGCCCGGTCTCGACGTATCACCGAGAGTACTGAGATGCACGAAGAACCCAGCTTTCCTTGTTCAGATTCAATCAAGTAAAAGTTACGTCGAAGAACGTAGACGTATGCAGTTCCCGTTTCGTTCCAGATGCACCTCGTGAGTTCGATGCAGCAACGTCTCATGCAAGATCTGCCGAACCTAGAATTGGTATGCTAAGACGTGATACAAGCCATGCAGGCGTTCGCAGTTCGCGCGATGGCTGTCATGCCCCTGAAGTACGGAGATCGAAATCCGGCTATGTTTAGAGAGAAGCAATGTGTGAGCCGCTAATAGAACGTAAAATACCGCAAGGCTGCTCTGGTCAGCCTCCTGGGACCGGTGCGACTTACTACGAGCAAACTACGCACGCGGTAGGTGTGATTGCTCCGCAAGGCCATACCTCCTGCCTCGTAAGCGTGCATAGCCTCAATGTGATAATCGCTCAATTCTTGGCCTACTTGCTGGGCACTTGGCGAAGAGCCAAGAGTGGAAACGTGGATGCGTGGACATCCCGCCCAAAGCTGGCGACCGTTTGAGACATGGAAACCCGGAGCCATTCAGGGGACCTTTTCGAGGGCCTCAACGTGTTGGAAGTGTACTATATGCTCAGGGAATGTCAAGGGGAGGTGGTTGCAACAGAGTTCATCTACATACGGCCGGCGCGACTACAAGGTTGACAGGCTGGTAAATTGACATTTGCGCCGAAGATCGAGATCATGCTGAATGATTCTACAGGCGTGTACATGATCTGGTGTGCCGTAAACATCTCGTTGAGATGAGGGGCATTTGGCAAGCATCGATGGCCCACTGCGTAGAATGCGAGTGCGACAGGCCATTCGCCCGAGCCGGGAAGTCAGCAAGGCATCCGATGGGCAGTCGGGCGGCTCTGTAATCCAAGTAATTCAAGGTATGTGGTATAGCCAGCCAACCAGCCACAGCTGTCGCCACCAGTGATGATGGGATGGCGTGACAGGAGCATGGGATCGCAGCGAAAACTGGAGTAGATTGGATGCCAATACTTCCCGCTGCTGCTCATAAGCCAAGGGCACCAAGAATTCCGCATTTTGATTGCTGTTTCGGTTGTGTCGCTTCTGTGTGAGGGGTCGAGCGTGCGGCAAGGCACCCACCGGCGCGCACAACAACGCCCATGGCCCTGCTTGTGCGTGGTGTCTCTGGATGCGCCGACCAGATACCCCGCGAAAACAGGGAGCGCGTACGTGAATCTGGGTCGCATGTGGTCATTTGCGAGTGACGGATGTCGGCGAAGCCATCGCGTTCGGCCAAGACGAGGGCCAAGGCGCCAGTGAGCACGAGAGTGGGGCGGCTGAGCAGGCAAGGCCGAATCACAGGACGTCTGCGCCCACCCTACACGGACCATGCCTGCCCTGGCCTAGTCCGGCAGTGCCTCGCTCATGGGCCGCGCCAGTTTCTCTTTCTCTGGGCGAATCTTCGCCCGCTCCGTTCCGCTGGTAAAAGCTGCCAACTGCCCCCGAGAACCTCTGGGCGCCCTCTCCTCTGACTTTGCTCCACGACCCCAGACTGCCCCTTCCTTACCGTAGCTTAACTTTGCGATAACTGTCATCGCTCTGCGCGGTTTTGACTCTCTCACCCACATTTCACCCTCACCATTGTTGGTAACTGCCAGCACCTTCGCCAAGACGATGAGCGAGGTTCAGAATACAGTGCCCGCAGCGGCCACGACTCCTCAACAGCAGCCCCAGGGCACCCCCATCCAGCAGAATGCCCCAACTCCCGCCTCAGTCTCTGCAGGCTCGGGCGACCAGCTTACCTGCCAGTGGCAGAACTGCGGCGACCGTCTTCCCTCTGCTGAGCAGCTCTATGTAAGTTCTTCGCCAAGTGTGCTTAGCGACGGCTGCATACCGCGCCGCGACGCGTAGAACACTGCCATTACTCGTCTTTACAGCTCGCTGACTTGCGTGCAGGACCACGTCTGTGAGCGCCATGTTGGTCGCAAGAGCACCAACAACCTGAATTTGACCTGCCAGTGGGGTAACTGCCGCACCACCACGGTCAAGCGCGACCACATCACTTCCCACATTCGCGTGCACGTGCCGTTGAAGCCGCATAAGTGCGATTTCTGCGGTAAGGCGTTCAAGCGTCCTCAGGATCTGAAGAAGCACGTAAAGACGCACGCCGACGATTCCGTGCTACTCCGCTCCCCAGAGCCCAACCGAGGCGGTCCCCACGGCGCCCAAGGCTACCCGGGCCAAAACGGCAAGCGTAAGTACTCCTCACATGACTTGGTCGATCTCAACTTCGATCCAAGTCCACTACCCAACCTCGATCATTATCTAACAGAACATACAGTTGTCGCTGACTTGCAGGCGCTTGCTGCCACAGCGAGTGGATACCAATATCCTGATGGTGCCCTCGGCCCCAACGGAGGTTACGGCCAGCAACACCCAGGTGGTGCCCCAGCCGGATTCTACGGAGGCCCACCCCAGAACTCCGCCTATGGCCCTGTCTACTATGCTGTGAACCAATCGCAACAGCTCAACAACGACTACGAAATCAGGAAGCGCGCCGCGTATGATGCGCTCAACGAGTTCTTCGGAGACGCCAAGCGTCGCGCCATTGACCCAACCACCTACTATGATGTCGGCCAACGGCTCATGGGCCTCCAAGGTGTTCAGCTTCCCGTCCTTGGTGGCGGTGGAGGCGGCTACCAGGGCCAGGGCATGTCTGAGTATGGCCACGGCGGCTCAATGGTTGCTCAAGCACAGCATCCACCCATGCACCACCCCTACTCTCTGCCGCTTCCCAACCTCAGGACCAAGAGCGATCTCTTGAACATTGACCAATTCTTGGAGCAACTACAAAGCACCGTCTACGAGAACCCCAACCACGCTGCGGCTGCTGGTGTGGCCCACCCCGGACACTACGTTCCTACCGGCGTTGGCTACCGCTCCAGCAACTCGCCACCTGGCCTTTCGTCTAGCCACTCCCAGTCGTCTCACGCCACTGCCATCGGATCCACCAGCGCTGAGACCCCTGCTCTGACACCAGCATCCAGCGTACTGTCATACGGATCCCAGCACTCTCCTGGTGCGCAGCACTCTAACAACGGTGTTTCTCCTACATCAAGGAGTTCGATTGGTAGCATGTACCCTACGCTACCATCTGTCAGCGCGATGTCGGACATGTCAGCTGCTGCGCCATCTTCTGGACTTGCACCAGCGTTTGATTCCGATGGCCGTCGCCGCTTCTCTGGTAACCTCCTCCAGAAGGCCGCTCCGGACCGGTCAGAGCACGACTCCATGGATATGTCAAGCGACGGTGCGTCGCCCAAGGATCGCCGTGATTCTGAGCAAAACAGTCTTCACCATGACGTTAACCAGTTGGCTATCCACTCGCCCAAGGTTGACCCTGCTCTTCGCTCACCAAGCATTGCGTCGTCAAACAACACAGAACAAGGCGACCAGTCTCAACAATCCTGGGTTGAGAACATCCGAGTCATTGAGAGGCTCAGGGCGTACCTCAAAGACAGACTCGAGTCGCATGACTTCTCTGACGATGAGGAAGACGTCAAGCACGATCTCGAGCGCCGCATGAGCGACGACGATGCACACAATCTCTACCCCGTACTGCGCGCTGTACAAGAGGGCCGAGAGTAGTGTTTCTCTTCTTGGGCGGGTTCAAGATGCTTTATGGAGTTTAGAAGGGAATGATGGCGTCAAGGAGTTAACCAGGCTTGGTGGCATCATCAGGGACGATGGCCAATAACTGTTTCGATCGGTATAGCGATGTCTTGTTATGTTCTTTCACGACTGCCTTTAGGGAATAGGCCCTCCAGTAGCATGTTCAGCTTTCCACTTGTTAGTAGCAGTGCGCGAATATCACGATTATTCAAAGTTTCAACTCGAGGATTACATGACATGTATGTGATTGACTGACATTTGAGCAGTCGTCGCGCAACTAATATGCAGACCTTGAAGCATGTGTAGAAGATCATCATACCCAAGTCGTCTTTCAAGACGGTGGCATCTGCTTGGCAGCCCGCGTTATCAATTTGCCAAGCTTATGACCAATTCCGACCCCACACTGAATCTCGTAGATCGTCGTTTAGACAAGCCTTTCCCCACGTTCCTATCAATCCAGAACATTGGGCGCGGATTGATATGGGTTCGCATGACCCACTCGGAGCTGCGTACCACATGTGCATGTAGCAACGCCCAACCTCTCCATTCATCTTCGCGTTTGATCATCTCTCTGGTTCAACATTGATAGCTCTTGTGCACCTACGCTCAATACAGCAAACTCCAAATCGAGGCTATAAGCCAATACTGTGAGCATCCGATCACGATGGCGTACGGACGCGGCGGTGCAGGCAATTACTACGCGGCGCAGGAGCAAAGTAAGAAGGTTGCCGAAGTGAGTCGATAATGATCACGCATTCTTAATCCTCTATGTTCTTAGGTATGCTCACCGTCAACACAGGACGTCGAAGCCAACCGCTCTTCCACCATTGCCGCTGCGCAACCTTCACGCGACCCTCCACAAGTACAGCCCTCCAATGCGTCACAAGACTACGCACACATGGGTCGTGGTGGTGCCGGGAACTGGTACCAGCCCACCGAACTCCAGAAAGAGGGCACCTTTACTCAGGCTGCTGACGCAACTGCTATTCCCACATCATCGAAGCCACAAGTTAGCACGCCGTGGCATCCAGAAGGCCAGGAACTTCCTGTTGCGAGAAGTGGGAGGGGTGGCGCTGGTAACTTTGTATGGAAAAGTGAGGAACAAACGAAGCGACAGGTCCAAGATGAAGAAAAGAGAATTGAGGGGCTGAGGAACGAAGTGGAAAGAAGTGTTGAGGCTGGCTTGGCGAAACCGCCTGGCGCACTGCTTGGAAAGGAAACGCAGAAGGGCTGGTGAGCTGTGGACTAGTATCCGGTAGAATATGCGCGAAGTCAGTGCAGGGTGATTTTGACATTAATGTGGAAAACATTCTATCGCGAAACAACGAAGCTCTGTCTTGTGCGCTGTGCGCCAGTTGTGCCTCACTGCAGCACGTCAACCTAGGAGCCCTGGAGAAACCTGAACATCCTAGACCCTACATTAAGGCTAGCTTACCCACTTCCCATGTCTATATCTCAATATAGTCTGCAGTCTCCCACGTGCCCTCACATCTCGTGGTTCCTCATGACGTCGTTTCCTGTTCGGGACGTTAAGGCCCGTGCGCTTTGTTTATCCATGCTCTAGCGGATATCTTCCCCGTCCCTCCCCACCCACAGGCCAGCCCCAATCTCCGCTCCCTTCGTGTTGCAACCTAGTAGCTGATCCTACTTGAACATTTCTTGACAAGATGGCGCGTCGATCAGCTCGTCTGCTCAAGGTACGCGCACATTGCTTTTCTACCGTTTGTTTACATTTACTGATGCGTCTGTTGTAGCGCGAGACTACGCCCTCCGAAGATAGTTGGCACACTGCCTCGTCGCCCAACTTGGGCCTTCCAGATCTTCCAGAATTGCCAGAGCCTGGTATGGCGCGGAAGACGCCCTCGAACGCCTCTGCAGGCCCCAAGGCCCAGTCAAAGTTACCGCAAGCGGCCGCGACACCCACACCTCATAAGAGCAAATCAACCAAGTCGCTCATTGATGACGCCAAGAGCCAAACACCCAAAGATCGCACTCCGATCAAGCCGGCAGGACAGGAGATGCATCCAGCGCATCACCACGCGAGCACAGCCAAGATCCTAGATGAGGCGCGCTGGCTCGGTTTTCAGTCACTGGGTACCGCGCCATCCAAAGCGACCGGCCTGGCGGGTCAGGCAACGCCCTCGAAGACTCCTGTAGCTGCCTCTTCGATGGCCAATGTTGGGTCATCGCCTGACTTCCGCTTCCGCTTCAAGTCGCCTTTCTCGAAACAAGACGAAGCCACGCTGAGCCCAAGCTCGCGCAACATCCTGAAAGACGCTGGGATCGCAGGCACTCCTGGTGGTGGTAGCCGTGCTCTGTTCGGTACGTTAAAGTGATAGTCAACTCAACCTGTTTTGCTTTTTCTAATCGCTATTTTCATATAGGCACGAGCGAGTGGTCCTCCAAGGTCGACGTGTCTCCCCAGCGCAAGATGGCCGAAGCCAAGGGCAAGATGGCTCGCTTCAGCGACGTACATATGAAGCAGTTCAAGAACATGGACTCCATCGCGAACCACCCGTCAGCTTTCCGCGCCGACCCGACACGATTCAAGCCCGTCGTAGGCCAGTCGCTCAAGAAGTCGCCCTCGAAACCAGAGCTCGCGAACCCGGAGACAAACAAACTCAAGCGTACACAGTCGAAGGCCGATATGGCGGAGCCGAGCTCGAGTGCCGCTGGTGGTCTAAAGCGCACACAGTCGAAGATGGACCTCGCAGGATCTGGAAGCAAGATTCCCCCAACCCCGTTGAAGCGCACTCAATCCAAGATGGACCTCACCGGATCTGCCCTGCCACGCTCCCAGTCAACAGCTCGCATGGCTCCTCCTACACGCGATGGACGACCGGCCTCCCGCGACGGCGACGGCGACCGTAATCCGGTAGCTAAGCGTGTCAAGCGCACCGAGTCTGACGATGCTGCCACCACCCGCCCTGCGTCTCGTGAAAAGATGTCCGATGTCCCAGCCCGCGCAGCTGCTACTCCGGCCCGCAAGAAGACATCTCAAACTGCACTTCCTCGTCTAGCTGCGCGATTGATGACGCCTACAAAGTCGTCTATTGCGCGTTCACAGAGCGTCAAGACTCTGAAGACGACATCGATGATTCCAACCCTAGGAAAGTCGCCTTCCACGAACAACCTGGGAGCTTCGCCATCTGTCAATCGTAGCTTCGAGTCGTCCTCTGCCCGTAATACCTTCTCTCCTCCTAGCAACATTGGCCATCTGCAGACTTTGAGGGACAATGCACGCGAGAGCATGCGCAAGGTATGTCTATCTATGGGCGCTTTCCAACTATCCACTAACATCAGCAGGCAAGCAGCAACTTGCAGCGCGTCCGGTCAATTCTTCGCACGCCAAACCGCAAATTCTCGGACGATCCTAGCAAAATCGCGGCAGGCACTCACATGTCACCCCCGACCATGAGCCTCGACAAAGCACCGTCCCTGGTTCCTGCTACAGCTCCTGTGAAGAAGCAAGTCAACTTCAGCAGTAGTACTTTGGAGCGCGCGTCGCACGACGAGCTGGGCAAATCACCGTCCCCGATGAAGTTCAGGGCAGGCAGTGAAGTGCCTGCTGGTGCCGTGATCTATCCTAGTCTCGGCTCAGGAGCACACAATGGCCCAGATCTTTCTCAAGAGATTGAAACTCTGACCGCTTCTCCATCTCGTCGCCTCACGTTCGGTGGTGAAGCTCCTAATCATCCACGTTCCTTTTCCTTCGAGTCCGGCAGCACTGTCAACTTCGGTAGGTCTACGTCTTGCCTCTCTTTACCGACATTTCACTAATTTCCTTTAGGCCCTGTACCGACTGGCACGATCCGTATGGTACGTCCGAGCGATGCGTCTTCTCTTGTCGACGGCACCAAGCGCAAGTTGGAGACCCTACAGGAGACATCTGACAAGGAGAACGATGGACCCAACGACGACGACATGCGCTCCAACAAGAAGATGAAGCGGACACCTGCACCCGCTCCAAAGGCCCCTGCCAGCGCAAGCAAGCCAGCTCGCCACACCCCAGGACGTACGGGCGCTATCAGCAAGTCAAGGCTCGCCTTCCTTGCTACGCCTAAACGAAGCAGGGCGTAAGCTTGCTTGCCTTGGTTGGAGAATGTGATGCTACTGAGGTGTGTTCGTCATAAGCTGTAGCGAACATGCATCATCCATGATTCGACGGGCATTTGTTCCCAGTTCACTCTTCAGTCATTTGCTGGCGTACTTGTCACGATGTTTGTGCATCGCCTCATGACTTACGATACTTCCTTCTTGTCAAATCTTTGTTCTTTCTCACGTCATAATTGGCATCGGGGCGTAACGGTTCTCCAGGCATAACCCTCAAAATCTTTCCTTTTGTTTCTGGATCTTACGTGTCCGATGGACACTGATCATTACGAGGACGGTACACATGATCAAGCCTAGCTTGTGTATTATACTGAATCAACGATTGCATGACCACCAAATTTCCAACGAGTGATGTGTGAGTTGTGTACTGCGTCAGCAGGGGCGGCAACAAGTCGTGTCGCGTTGTAAAGAAATGTTGAAAATTTTATCAAGCTAGAAGTATACGTTATCTTAGAAACTTAGAAACTATTTCCTTGCTAAGATACAACAGTGTGTATGCAGCGAAGCCTACTGTTCAGTGATTATTCGTAGGTGGGAGACATGTGCAGTCAAGTGGGTCGATGCGGCACCTGGGCGGTCGGAGCTTCCGTACCAGTCGCTCATACTTTTGGCCGATCAACATTGATTCACACCGCCTACAGCCGCCCCCCACTACACAACCAAGGGCTTTTTCTGGCAGCTTACTACGTCATTCGCATACGCGGACTGCTTACGGCCTGCTACACTGGCAGGGCGAGTCTCACACCACCACCGTGGCGTCGCTAAGTAACCTGGTCGACGAATTGAAGAAATCCTTCAACTTCCGCGACTCTCGATCTCTACTAAGCTCCACGACAACTTCTTCGTCAGGCGACACTGAAAACCAGCACACGAACGCGCTATCGAAACTGTTGCGCGCCCTACAGCACCACAGCTTCCACGACGTCGCCGAGTTCCTCACAAACCCTCGCCTCGACGACCCTAACTACCTCACCACCCTTGCTATCGCACTAGCCTCTGTCATCGTCACCATGTCCTGGTTCTCCCGCACCGGCGGAAACTGGGGAGGACGCTTCTCGCCATTTGGCCGTCCAGGCAACTCGCCAAACGCCGGCGTCGTTAACGACTCCGACTTTTCCTACATCACCAACGAAGACCTCCGACGAAATGGTCAAGCGCAAGCGCCCGAAATCGTTGATTGGGATGACAAGAACCCAGAACGGGAGACAGACGTTCTCATCTTCAAGAACGGGCGCACACATTACCCTACACACTTCCCCGCGCACAGCATACGCGATGGAGACCTGAAGATTGGTACAGTTCGACAAGCGGCAGCAAAGAAGCTGGGCGTCGATGACCACAGGCGGATACGCATGTTCTACAAGGGTAGGAATCTGAAGCACGACGAGCGGACTGGACGGGAGGAAGGCCTCCGTGGTGACGGAACCGGTAGTGAGATTCTGGTCACCGTAGGCGAAACCCCAGTCGGTGGCCTAGCACCCGGATCAGAAGACGCACCACAACACGCATACAGCGAGGGAGAGGACGACGATGACGACGACGATGACGTCGACTCTGGCGCGAATACCACAGGCAAGAAGAAGTCCCGCAAGCGCGGCGGCAGGAAGAGCAAGAAGAAGGGTCCTTCTTCGGCAAACGCCTCTGGCACCTCAACACCCGGCTACACAACTGGCGGGGCCGGCGCAGAATACCTCCCTATCCCCTCGCATATCAGCGCGGCACCGCGCCCGAGTCCCACTCCTCCCCCGGCCAAACCCGCCGAGCCCCAAACCCCAATCGGCAAACTCGATGCCATCGCCAGCAAGTTCCACACCGAATTCGTACCCATGTGCGTGCAATTCATGGCCAGCCCGCCAGAAGATAAGGCGAAGAGGACATTCGAATACAAGAAGCTGAGTGAGACTATCTTGACCCAGATCATCTTCAAGCTAGATAGTGTCGAGACGGAAGGTGATCCAGAAGCTAGGCTCAAGCGCAAGGCTCTCGTCAAGGAGGTACAAGGCATGCTGACAAGGCTGGATGAGGCCGGAAAGGCTGGCTAAGCTGTGATTGCAGGCGTGGAAAAATAAGCTCAAGCATCATTACATGGTGCTGTGAGGCGGGGAACTAATTTCGTTAATGGAGATTGCACGTGCATGCTCTCCTTGCTGTCGCTCTACTTTCTTCTCGGGTCTGCATTGGTGATAGTTATCAAGGAGCATCTAGCGAGCGATGCTGATGAGCGGCTAGCGATCGATTTGCGTATCAACATTAACGAAGCTCTTCCCTCTATTTTCTGCTTGTGTGAGGTGTCTGATGCCTGCATCATTGTTCTTTGTATCACCCTCCTGATCCCGTCTGCCTCTCTTTCACCACCTGCATCCTTTATCTCACGCTTTGTCAATGTCCATTGTGTTCATGTCTCTCTAGCTCCTGCCTGCATTCGAAATGCCAAGGGCAAGCTACATTACCAAATGACTTTTCGTACGCATCTTGCACATGAGAAGCAAATCTCAAGTTCGAATGTACTGGAATTTATATCGCTCGTTGGCCATTAACGACTCGCAAGACCACACACCATGAGTACGGAAGCTAGCCACCAATCACTAAGATGTGTCCACGAAGCACTTGCCCGGAATGGTCTCCCACCTATAGGATCCTCCCAAATATTGTCGTCGACATCCATCGATGCTCTCGGCATTACAAGTGTTCCCCGTTTCAAAGCAGCCTCTTACATCACTACCGGGGTTGATCGTGTCAGCAGCAGAGGTACCGACAATCTTATCTCTCATGCCATCCCAATCGACAACTGCGCTCGAATTCTTGAAGCTGTTACCAACAACCGGACACTCCGCAAATCTGAGATCAGATCAAAGAACTATTCTCGCCGCTGGTCGGTTGATTGCTCGGCCTATTCCAGGGGAGGAGATCTGTCGTCAACCAAGAGTGATAGGCATCACGAAGCGCGCAAGTATGATAGTGTCTTCGAAGACACTGATGCGTTCAGGGAAGCAGAAACCTTTAGTCGGGATACCTACACGGGTATTCAGCGGCTAGACGTCTTTGATCGCGACTACATTCCCTCCGCAAAGTCCAGCTATACTGTCCTCGAAACCGCAAACGCATCGATCGAAGAATCTCAGTTTCGCCACTTTCTCACTCTCGGCCCTGACGACGGTTGGTTTCACGACAGTCACATAGACACATCTCTAGACATACTGGAGCGAGCTGCCAACTGCCAAAAACATGGGATCGCAATATGTCGTGTTGGTCAAGGAACCGAGCTCTACACCAGTATGAGGAAAGCACAGGAACTTCAAAATGAGGAGGGAGTATGGTTCGATAGACTGCTGATTGAGAAATGCAGTGACAAAGACTTCATTTTGGTACCGATCAGTAACGCGTACGAAGACGTTTACGAGACAGGCATGGAACGTGAACGTCAGTATGAAGCGGCCAAAACGAACCCCATCACAGAGCCTACGCTCCATGAATCAACTGCAGGTAATCACTGGTCTCTTCTCCTCGTCGACTGTCGCTCTTCGACCATCAAAGGACGCTACTTTGACTCCAGCTACCATGAATCCGCTGGCCTTTTACATCACTACGCAATCGAAGACTCGAACATTTGCAAAGCAGCCCTGATGATCTTGACTGGCGTACGAACGATGCTCAACCATGTCCAACCGGGACGTTTCAACGAGGAAGAGTTTGTGTTTGACATTGACACCCACTGCCCTAACCAAGGCCATGAGAATGTGAGCGGCGAAGAAGACGGCCTGGGTGCCTGTGGCCCTTTCGTATGGGAAATGAGTAAGGAAATCACGCAATACATTGCCGACTGTCGTGAAGACCCCAACTTTCCCGATGTTGGTCAAGTCGACCCTTGTTTACCAGACGGTTACCAGCGCCGTAGGAACTGGGACTCAGCGAAGACGCGTAGGGCAATATGGAATCTCGTGTTGAGAGAGCTGAGAACCCGGGAGTGGTTGAATCGTACTTCGGAATGGATGGATAGTGTGGGACAGAGGATTTCCACGCCGGGGGACGGTGTGGCAGGTTGGAGATCTTGGCTGAAAGGAAAGGGATTGGTCGAGATGACCTTTTGGGATCCATGGGGGCTGGAGAGTGAGCTGGCGCCTCAGTTTGGGCGGCCGGTTATAGTAGGCTTATAACCTTGTCACTTTTTCGATATCTCTCGAATGTATAGTGCAAAGAGGGATGCTCATGAAACATATCGAAATCTTTCAAGATACCAGTCCTGACTTGGTGATTGGGGAAGTTGAGAACAGTATGTTGCGAACTTTAGAATCTTGATAAGCTGTCAAACTATGGCGATTGCTTAGGATCTTGATCTTAAAGGCCATGCCACGGGTCCCAGAAATAATCCGCAGTTATCCTTTCTCTCCTGGCCGCCAGCCAATCTTTCCACCCGGGCTGCCCATCTGTCTTCCACCAGTCATGCGTACCATTGAGCCAAACCCTCGACCTTCGTTCCAGTTCAAGCAGGTTCTTTATATTTTTCCGCGTCGCCCCCGAATCCCAACACCAACGTTGCTCAAAGCCAGTGGGCAAGGTGATGTCAATGTCAACATGTCGACCCAGACGGTGAGCGTCTTCATGACATTCGATGATATACTGTACCATATCTTTTGCGAAAGCCCATACAAAAGGCCCACAGGCGCCGCCACCGTCAGCGTAGCACTGGTTGTGGAGCTTTTGGTTTGGGCAGCGCGTTTCTCGGTGGAGGTTAGTGTCAAGCGTTGCTTGGTCGATCTTGTAGTCTGGTCGCGTTTCCGCATATATTCTGCTGAAGCCACGAAGTAGGACCATAGCCGCTTCCAAGTTGCTGGGCGTACCATCGGAGTCATAGTGTCGTGCATGGATAATCGGCTGGTGACAGTCGATGATTACCAAGGTCCAATGTGTGCCGAGCAAATGGCCGCTTTGATCTCCGGCGTGTATCCTTTTCCAGCCATTACTCACGGGAATCATGACGAACTTGTTTGTTCCTATCGTCTTCTGCAGCGCTTCCCCGGCTTCCAAAGTCGCGGTCTCGTCGCGGCCAACCGTGTACAATTCCGCAGCGAAAGGCGTACCGAGAATGGCGATGTCGTGATATTCGCATCCAAGCATACGGTAGATGGCGTCGAGGCCAATGTCCAGAACTTCATCATAGAACCAGACTCCGATGTGATCAATCTCGCCGAAGTGTTCGTTGTGAAGCTGAGCCCTTTCCGTCTCGAGGTACACCATGTGCTTGTCGCGGTCTAGCTCACTAGTACTACGCTTATGCCTTTGAAGCACAAAATCTCTTTCCACGGCATCTTCTACCGCTCCGCCATCGTCCTTGCTCAAGTGAGGGTATCGCTGATCCGGCGTTTGGTACAAGTCGACAGACCATCGCCGGCGTAAACAAGGAACTGTGCGGGCACTGCTACATGCCTCATGTATTTTATCGTCGCGATCCTCCGTTAAAAGAGCGCCGGACCGAGTGGTGTGCGTATGTCGTGTGCGAATGCGCTCGATCGTTATAGACTCGTCCAGATCGATCTGGGAGAGACCTTTGGTACTTAAGAGATCATTCAGTATGTCTTGTTCGCTTGCTACGAGCGCTTCAGATGAGCTCTGGATCTTTTGGAAAAGGTGCCTGCGTTGGTCCATCATCGCAAAGTCCTTCTTTCCCTCTTCATCGACAGAGGTGAGCTTGAGGCACAACGCTAAAGCCACGGTCGTGAGGTATACATCAGAAGGCTTTGAGTATGCTGGAGAGCATATAGCCTTTGTCTAAGCGGCTTTTGTTGGTATTGTTGTGATGTCATCAGCTTTGTGGCTGTACGACCCCTTGATCACTAAACAAAGAATGGGTGAGTGACAAAAGGTCAATGAGTGACTGAGTGTGTACAAACCTAATGATGACACATGGCGATGAAGTAGTCAAATGGACCTGCTACATGGTCTTTGCGTAGTCACTACATGTGGAAAGGACAGCCATGAAATCTAAGGCACCTGGCACCCACGACGTTGGATTAAGGATCACATTTTCGACGTTGGATTAAAGTTCGAAACAGCTATGAAAAGCCCTCCGTGGATCTGAGCTAGGATTACCAGCCGTCGGCCTGTGCTACACTAAGGAAGGGGAGTCAGTTCCCAGGAGACAAAGTGTCGGAGTCGGAGTGGGTGTGTCGGTCTCGGTCTCGGGATCACCCTAGCCTTTTTCGTTCGGTGGACGTTCGCCCGAGCCCGTCACAGAAACTGACTAGAGTACCCGAGCATCTCCCGCTTTTCAAAATGCCCTTGTTTTGTGCATACGCCACCCTGTGGAGACTGTTTTACCTTGTCTACGGGTCTGTCCTCGCGTTATGGGGGTGGAGCCTGTTGACGGCGTGTCAGTACCACGTGGGACCGCGCCATAGCGGAGGCGACGATCAGGTCATGCTAGGATCAATGGATGATGAGTAAACAGTACTTGTGCGACTTAGGCTAAAGGTATACAACGCTTGTTAGAGCGAGACTCTGACGAAAAGGTACATGGTAGGCGCGCCCCACTGAGCGGTGCCACGTTCGCTTTTGATTGCTCGACTTGACTACTTCAAAGACCAGACACCATTTTCCTCAATGATGTCAATCGGCCTGTTTTCATCGAGCGATCTTCTGCCTGCCTCGAGAATTGCGGTCGTCGCGATAGTGTTCTTCAGGGTTGGGAGTGGCCGCGCGTCTAGCTGTTCGAGTGTGACCTCGCCTGCGTTGAGCTTGTTGACGGCATCAACGAACTTCTCAAAAGAGATGTATCCGTAGCCGATCTGGCCTGCGAAGTTGCCCTCCTCATCGGGAGCGTACTTCATGTAAAATCTGTAAGTGGTTAGTACGCAGTGGGATGACTTTGCGATGTTTGGACTCACGGGTTGTACCAGAGGAGACCACCCTCGTCGTCAGTAACGTCGTAACCGCGCTTGGCCTGATTGACGCGGATTTCTCCTGTAGATGCCATGTAGTGGAAGTACTGATTCGAGTGTACACCGGCTTTCTGAGGCGCTGCCCAGCCAGCTGTGTAAACACCTGTTCCGACCTTGCTAGGGTCATCCTTCTTCACCCAGTTGGTGAGCAGTGTGATGGTATCCTCGGTAGCAGGATCGCAGCCCAGCCCTGTTGCAATGCCCTTTGCAGCACTAGCCATGACGCGTACTGGCTTCCAATCGGGGATCATGGACTCGTTGATGTCGATGTGGTGAGAATTGAGGTAGTAGGAGATGTCAGAATCGATACCCGCCCAGGCCTTGAACGTCTCCAGTTGGCTCCTGACCGAAGTATTAGCAAATAGAGTCTTCGATTTAGTAGGGGTTGAATGTACTTTGGCTGGCTCATGTAGGAGTAGAAGTAGTTGAAATCGCCCAGCTTCTGCGCCCGGAAACGCGCATCAGCATACGCAGGATCGTATCGCTTGTGGTGCTCAATGTAAACGAAGACATTGTGTTTCTTCGCAGCTGCCAAAAGCGCCTGGTGATGTTCCAGGAGCTTCACCGCGGGCTTCGTGATGAGGACGTGGATTCCGCGTTCGATGGCGTACAGAGCGATCGGGTAGTGAGTGGTGTCAGGTGTGAAGATGGTGACTATGCAACGTCAATGGGAGGAGGCAATTGAGCGGATGTATATTGCAACTCACTAGCACTGCCCTTTGGAAGCGCGTCAATCGCTGTCTTGTACGCATTCGGATCGGTTTTGCCTTCCTTTGGGAACTCCTCAAATGACACGTCCAAGTTGTTGTATGCCTCGGAAATGTTCTTCTGGAGATGCTCGCCTGGCAAATATCAGCATGCCGGACATGGTGAAACCGTCCAGATGCTGTGCGACTCACGGATTGCGGGGAATTTGCCGCCCGATGTGCCCACCATAGACAGCTTGCCCACTTTGCCGCGTCTTCGAAGGTCGAACAGCGTCAGGCCTACGACACCGACCTTCTTGTCCGACTTGGAGGCGCCCCCTCCGACGAATCCTGTCGTGTACTCTCCAGTACCGACCTGGCGTGCAATTAGCATTGACATGCGACGCGCCGCAGATGTGAGGGGCAACGTACCATGAGTACTTCTACAGGCGCCATGTTGCAGTAGTTTTGCAGGTTTGAGAGATTTTGTAGATGATAGAGAGGATTGACAGCTACCGTCTTGATCTCGAGCAAGATGAGACGAGACAAGAGCTGGAATTGAAGGGGATACGCTGCTTCAATACCCGACACAGCTTCGTCGGCCTTTGACCACTTATCGATAGCGACGGAAGATATATGACCCAGCAACGCGATGAGGGGCACGAGGCCTCACGCGTGCTACCGGCAGCCGCGGCCGGATGACGTTGCATCATTCGAGGCCTTGGTCATGGTGGGGGCTGTGTCTTGCTCAGCGCGGCGGTTTGCATCAGTTTCCGATGGCCGTGGCGTCTCCAAGCCGTCGAGGAAGCAGCGAGGCTCGTCTCGACATGGCGGAGTTGTCTTGGAGTAATTCCTTGGGGCACGCGCGGTGGTTGACGTTTATTGCGTTCCGAGGGGTAACGAGGTTCCCCAGAGGCCAAGGAAAGAGCGACACTGGCTTCCCCCACGCGCGTGCCCACCTGCTATTGGTGGAAGAATGCCACCCCGTCCACGACAGCCGTGCTGTGCCACTATGTTCGACAGCTAACCCTGCCCCAGGTGCAGCTCTATCCCATCAGACAACCGCCGACTTTAGTCACTCTCATAGAAAAGGCCGCAGAATGTCCCGCATTTCGCCCAGTGGTGTCCCGAACTCGCCAGATGGCCCACAGCCCTGCACCCAACCTCCAGTCTAGCCCTCGCCGTTGCGGTCCTTGGCGAATCAAACATGACCATTTGACGAGATCTTGAACGGTAGAGCCACTGAGACACGCCAGTCCATGTGGGATGGGAAGTGAGCTCTGCCGAACTTAGCTCCTCTGACTTACTTTGCGCCGATTACCTCCATCTCGCTGCTATATTAAAGCTGACCGAACCCGTGTGTGCATCATCTTTATTGTTCGCCCCTTCCTCTCCCCCGAAACTTCCGTACTCATATGTTACTTGCCTTGTTCTTTTCCAGTCTCAACTCTTCTTGACTATACATACCACAAAGATGACATCAAACGGAAACGGGGCCAATGGCCACTCCAAAGAGCGTACTCCTCTTCGGCCAGGCATTTACTCGCCCACGATGACGTTCTTTGACCCCGAGACCGAGGAGCTAGATATCCCTACCATCAAGAAGCACGCAGTACGACTTGCCGAGGCTGGCCTTGTTGGTCTCGTCACAATGGGATCCAACGGAGAGGCTGTCCATCTGTCACGGGCTGAGAAGACCGCTGTCACGCGAGCAACCCGTGAGGCCCTCGACGAGGCTGGCTATCAAAACGTCCCGGTCATTGTCGGTGCTTCTGAACACGGCATAAAGCTTACCATTGAGCTCTGCAAAGAAGCAGAGGCGGCGGGTGGCGAGTACGTTCTTACTGTCCCTCCCAGCTATTACCGCTATGCCATCGACGAAGACGCCATTTACGAGTACTTTACCAAAGTCGCAGACGGCTCACCACTCCCAATCATTCTATACAACTACCCAGGAGCTGTTGCCGGCATCGATATGGACAGCGACCTCATCATCAAGCTTGGAAAGCACCCAAACATTGTTGGTACCAAGTTCACATGCGGTAACACTGGCAAACTCACGCGTGTCGCCCTTGCTACCAACGCCTGCACAATGAAGAGCGAAGGTAGTGGCTACATGGCCTTTGGAGGCATGGCCGACTTCACAGCTCAGACTGCTGCTAGTGGCGGATCGGGAATCATCGCTGGTGGTGCGAACGTCCTGCCGAAGACATGCGTCAAGGTCTGGAACCTATGGGCAGAAGGCAAATACGACGAAGCCATTGAACTTCAGAAGGTACTCAGCAAAGGCGATTGGGTTCTCACAAAAGCAGCTATTCCTGGAACCAAGTCAGCACTCCAGTCGTATTACGGCTACGGCGGATACCCCCGCCGGCCACTCAAGAGGCTTCCGCAAGAGAAAGTCGATGCAGTTGCAGAGGGCATCAAGGAAGTTATGGAGGTGGAGAAGAAGTTATAGTTGCTTTCAGTTGTGTTTCCTTGCGTTCATGGTTAGTTGCACTGCCTTTTCTCCGCCCATACTTGTTGACATTGGGGGGCAAAAGCGTCTGTCTGCATTTACGATGCTTCCGTTATCATGTACAGCCGTACCACAATAGATATCCTTTTTGGTTGTTCTCGTCGTGGAACTCGTTTTTGAGTGGGGCAATCCAACATAGCTGACTGCACCGGAGGTTCCGAGCTTGCGCCTTCCTAGCTGCATCGTCACGTGCTAGCGCGAAAACATCGCACCTGCCTTGCAGTCCCAATGCACCATCGTAGAACAGCAACACACTCCCTCGCGCCACCTTTGCCTGCCTTCAGTCACCATCTCTCAGCCTCACCGGTCGGCTGCTTGCTGCCATTCCAATACCCGGTCGCGTCTGGAACCTAGCTGCCCTAGCGACTAGCGACGCAGCATCCTTGCCATGGCGATCGAAATATCGGACGCAAAAACTAGATCGCACACCAACGTTTCGCCGCCTTTGCCATTCCAAGGTTTTCTGCCCGAGCGGTAGTCGCGGTACCTATCACAGCCGGCGTTTTGTCTTGCATGTTGAGCTCAGCCTCGGCCGATGCCGAAGCTTCTGGCCATGTGAATGTGACACGGCACATACGTGCGTTCCCAGCTTAACAGCTGTAGAGTGTACATTGGCACTTTGGAAAATATCTACAGTTCGCTGGCCTGATTGCAGCACAGCTAATCGCCCAAAAAGCGCCATCCACAGCTGCATGCAGCTGATCGCATGCGCCTGTTTACGTGTCTTCATAACCACGCGTGGAAAAAGAAATTATAGTTGTACAACGTTCCAGCCAGGTATCCAGCCCGCAGGCTTGTCCGAGTCGCTCCAGACGCCGAATCCCACAAACATGCTTCGATTGATTTGCGGCTCACTTATATGGCCAATCCGTTTCCTAAACTTGTCCAGCGATACAAGGATAGGACTTCCCGCCGCTTCGCAGGCGTCATCTCTCTGGCGTGGCCGTGGCCTTTTATTTGCGCTAAGGTCGAGATCATCACTTTGCGGAAGTTTCTCTGTGTCTCGTTAGCGCTGTCACATCCAGAGACCGGAGTGATGCGGCTTACCTGATACTCGGTGTTCAGAGTCACAACGGCCGCCTCGTGTGCCCTGACAATGGTTTCGCACGCTCGAATAACCCCGTCATTGGTCTCGGTCGATAGCTTGTCCGCTAGAAGGAGCAGGATCAGACTTCCTTGCAGGAGATACATGCCGAACAAATAGGGCATAAACGACAGATCCGGATCAACGTCTAGTATGACTTCTACCGCATGCGCAGCGGATATCGCGTTGGAAGTCGCAGCAAGGAAGGACTGTGAGCAAATCCACATGTTGTCGTCCTCCAATAGTGCCACCGGATCCCATTTGCCGTGTAACAGGATATGCAACACGTGCATGATGTGGGTGGCATATGCCGCGACTTTCCTCGTCTGATGCATCCACTCGCTCCGAACTGGGTCTGGGGTGCTGTTGGCCTGCGCTTCCTCATTCGAGCCGCAGCCATGTTGTGCCTTGAAGTCCTCGATGCTGTACGCGTACCGTTCTAACTGGCGGGTGATTTCTGCCTCGTGGAGCTCCCAGGATGTCCGTTGACCGAATCTTGGATGGTTCTTCTGTGCATTCAGATCTACAATATCTCCGAGAATCGTCATCAAGGGCAGGAAGAAACCGAAAATGTCATGCCTATAAAGGTTAGCCTCGTGTTCAGACTCATCGTCATGCGCCAAAGAAATTCCCGCTAGAGTATCTTTGGCCGCGGTCCATACGTACGATGTGCACTCAAAATTGAGTCCCCGTTTCCGTGACCCTGGGTGGCCAGTGTAGAACTCGCCCGCCTGCCAGAGGGTGTCAGGAACCGGCTGGAACAAGTCCTCGCATTCGTTGTCAAGCATCGCCAACGGTCGGTTGTAGCAGAGTCCAAGGTGCCGGTCAACCATGTACAGCAACCACCACAGTCGGCGCCTTTCTTCCTTCATCTCTTCCACGATTGCTGCAGATGGTGTGCCCACGGGTGCCTGCGCGCTGGCGCCTTCCGGCATACCCGCCTCAATCTCCTTCTCTGTTGCAGCTGTCTCTCGCTCTTTCACAGGTCCTTGTGGCAGTTCTCGGCCTAATTTTAGTTCTCGAGCCAGCGACCATGCCGCGTTCCACCACCGCAAAGAAGCCGCTTTGTATTCGCTCGCGGACGTCACGACTCCTAGGTTGATGTACGTAGCGACATCATCCAGGGTGCTGGTGGGTGGCATTGCTCCGTCGGGTCTTCCATCGTATCGTCCTATAGCTCGGTCAACCCCGAAAGCGTCGTGTGCGGCAGATGTCAAGCCAGGTCCAGGAGCGAAACCGTGAGAAGATGGAGAGTGGACAAGAGGCTTGAGCAGATCTACTGTAAGCTTCCACAGCTTCTGGCTGATGATAGCTCTGGCAGACGGCGAAGATGTCAGATAGCTCGCTTCACTCGTCTGGGCAGCGACCCATAGCATGCTTGATAACAGAGCGGGGCTGCATTTCCTGGGCTTGTGTTGTCGGAGGAAACTTCGCTTCCTGAAAACGGATCCGAGAATGTACGGCGAAACCGGTTCCATGAATACCGAAGAGGAACTTTGGAAGTAGAATTCGAGGAGATCGCATGCGGTGGTGACATTGAGTATCGGTCCTAGGTGGGGTAGTAGTGGCCCCAAAACAGGGTATCTGCAAGCGGCGATGGCGGCGCCGTTCTGGGAGGAGTTCGCGCTCACTCCAGACTGTGGTGATCCGGTGTCTACAGAACCATAGCTGTGTGGAGACGATTGCCTTCCTGTTGCTTGGTACTGCATTGGATACGTCATGTTGGCGTACTCCGGAGGGATCGAAACAGGTGTACCATTAGGACCAGGAATAAGGTGCATGCCTGTGACTGTCAGTGGCGCTGCTAATATACCACGTATCGCAGATACGCTGGGAGGGTTTCAAGTAACATACGAGACAAACGAGACATGTACACAGACTGGGAGTTCTGTGAAGCACTCCGAGCTCGGCCATCGTACGTACCGTTCATGGCGTACATCAGCTCTTCGCGAGGCATCTCGGCATGCATTGCCGGGTACGCAGCACCAGAACCAAGAAGCAATGGGTCGATCATCATGTGGTTGACAGGTGGATCGAATGTCGTGCCAGGGTTCAGAGCTTGCCAGTCACCTGCAGGCAGACCACCTTTGCCGGCTGGGAAATGTTGTACAACTGGTGTTGCTTCAGACTGCGACCAAACATCTTCGTCCATCTCTGCCATTACGCCGGGCCTCTCGTAATAACTCGAAATTCCATTGGGGGTTTGCGGACTACCACTGGCAGCTGCCTCTTCTCGCTGCTTCTGGATGTGCCTCGGGACCTGCGACTCGTTAGCTACTCGATGCACTTCATATGCGCGATATACACGCGATACCGAATGCTTCACGTTGAGGGACAAGGTTGTTGATGGTTGGAGGTGCTTACTTTTCCGCGTCGTTTCTTTTCGCGGTTGTACTGGCAGACGTACTCGAGCTCTATGCAGCGCGAACACGGAGCTTGGCCGTTGCATCTTGTTCTCATTCGATGGCAATGATCGCATGCTCGGCTCACTCTTCGCTTCACGGGTGCCGAGCCACGACGTTCAAGCTTGGGTGTCTCTGCTGTTGTGGTCTCCATGGTTGCGTCTGTGAGTTGGGATGACGACTATGACTTCAACCGGCCGCCGTTGTCCCTACATAAGATCAGCATCAGACGGCCCCCACCAAACACGGCCGACGTACTACTTTGTTCCAATGTGGCGACTCAATTCGAGAGCAGCGATTTGCGAGGGAACGGCAGTTTGTGCACGCGGGTGACGTCGCGGGAGTACTTGAGGACGAAGGAGTCGGTTGCCGGAAATCTGGGGACGACCACGGGTCATGCGATACTTGGGGAGCATATGTGGGCCTCCGACAAAGCTTTGGGTGCCGAGGGTACACCCCGACTGTGAAATGTCCTAAGCTGCAAAGACGATTCCAAGGGTCAGTGTGACGATCTGTGGCTTGAAGATTCCATGCGTCCACGCGGGCTTCGAGAAGCGAGATCAACTGGAGAGCAATATCAGAAGACGCAATGTTTAATTCGAGCATTCATGGATGTATGAAAGCTACGACCCATTGGCTACGGCAACCAGGCTCTGGGGCAAGACGTGGCAAGGGTCAGGAACACCGTAGCAGGGGACCGTAGCAAGGGTCAGAAAATCCTACCGCATGATTCGAGCATGGCTAAATACAAATTAGCCGGTGGGAGATGCGCTGCGCAGAGTCGGCGCTAGGAGCGAACCGCAGAGAGCCCCGCTTCTTCGAAGTTCACACCGCACGTCAGCTTCCCGCCAATCCTTGCCTGCGCCGACTACCAATACCTCCTGGCACTTTCTCCAGGTTGTGGCTTGTAGCGCCTGACCATGAATAAGACCCCGAAGCTCTTGCGCAACATGCGTGTCGGAGGTATCATCTTAACGCGCCCGCTATAGCCCCCCTTCGCCGATATTTGGCGCGCCACATTGGGAGCGCTGCTGGTTTGGAATGCCCTCATCTGCTGAAACGGCTTCCGTCCCGTTTCATGGTACCTGGACATCATTGGCGTGCCCTTGCCCGTCAAGGACCAGACGTCAGAACGTCAAAAATATGCACGCTGCCATGGCATCTGAAACCCGATACCTGATACCGACAACGATCTTCTCGTGAAGGCATGGCACGACCTTTGCGCTACGCCCAATGATATCCACACCCGGTCCCACTCCCTTGAAGGAGCGTGCGTGAGTCTCGACCCGCGGACAAGCTTATATTTCAGTATCCACAAAGGAGTCATTAGTACTGAGCGTCGCCGGGCTGCTAACACGAGTATTCGAGCGCACACCGCGACAGCTACGTTGGTTGAAGCGTGAGCTAGGTGTGTCGGTGGATTTTGGCCAAACTTTGTTATGTGGCTTCGCGGTCCCCGCCATGCAGGAGAAGCCGAGCAGTCCTAGGGCGTATAAGCGACGTTGTAGTGCCTGCAAACCCACCTCCGATATGTGGTCGGCCCAACGTCACCGTTTTTCGTCTATATGCGGAACACCGCGAACTGGCCGTATAATCCTTCTGCCAGCACACCAACAACGTGAACGGTCCAACGACTAATGAACTGGCCGCAATAGCTCTGGAACCAAAAGTCCAACATTGGATCCGCTTATAACTTCATCGAACGGAGACTATCCAGGCATCCTGCGCTTATCTCAGGTACGCGCTACACGGCAAGTTCTCGAAGACTCAAACTTGGAAGCCTCCTCGGGTGTCTTGACCAGTTCGTCAGAGTCTTGCAGCTGGGTCATCAGACCCACGTGGGCGCCATCCGTTGAACAAAACTCTCCTCAGCTGAAACCGATGGCCGATGGAAAGGGATGGCACTGCTCCCTGGCTCCGTGCCAACGATCTTCATAATTCTGCCCAATTTTGTCGTCACATACTGAGAGTTTGATCCACACCAAGACGAGGGCAGCGCCTGCCGGCCCGTTGAACTAGCTTGCAGCCTCGCAGAATATCAGATGCTGCACCACCACTGAAGTGTTGACTTCTCCGGCCCTACAGGTAGACAGTAAGATTGCTTCACTCTGAGAGGCTGCGCGTTGCGACCACGAGGGGGGCCCGCAATACATCTGCAAGTTCCAGTGCGAGGGCCCGCACAATGAACATGCATAAGGGCAGGGCCCCTTCACTCTGGCTTCGACAAGATGACCAATCTGTGCCTTCTGGGTCCTCTCGCCTGCAGACAGGCGCCAAAGCTCATCCTCTTTGTGTCAAGCCCCGAGACGTGTGACCATACAGCTTTGGCCTTCCTATCTCTGTAAGAGTCAAGCTGATGCAGGATCCCACTCACATTGTACTCATGAACGCAATTGTCCGGATCATAATCTATTGAAAGCCATGTTTCCCCACAAAAGATGGGTTTGGATTGCAGTTTGGCGACTGCGTCTGCTCATGCAGTTCAACAGTTCGAGGCCTCAAGGCTTGTTGCCAGCTTGCGACGCTTCACTCGCCCTGGCTTATTCACCACTCACAGACCGGATCCCCGCACGTATTTGCTGAATTTTTGCTCCTTTCCTGTAATATGGAACGACATTATTCCAGCCACACACAGAGGTTGTTCAATATGGGCGGGAGACGTGTTCAGTGCATACTGTACTTACTGCTAGATCAAGGCTTCAACACCGGGACACTCGTGATCAAGCGCAGTTGAGTTCACTATGACCATCCCCAGACTATATACTCCTGAGCAATATGAGCTGGAACTCAGACTCGCTAGTTAGGTACTATGGCGTGCAGCAGGACCTGCCTCTGTCATGTACCCCAGATTTTCCAACCAGTGAAGCCGGGAACGTGGCCTACACCAAACCTGGGGAACTGACAGCGTCGGCTGAACGGACGGTCCACCCGCTTCGCAAAGACGATGCTTGTCTGCCCTGTAAATCTTATGACCCGCTTCGCTCGACTATACTCTAGGAGGTGCGATGTTCACCGTTGAGATCGATCCGTGACAGCTCTGCGGGGGCGCCGCCTACCGCGTCGGCTATGGCAGAGGCGAAATAGCCGTAGTATAACAGCTACGGCTCGAAACCTCACAGCTGGGGCATCAGGCTTCCTCAGACCCTTGAGGCTTAACCGGCTCATTCTAGCGAGCCTAACCGTCGTTGCCGCCGTCGCAGAGCAGCGTGCGATCACGCAGCCTGCAGCTGATCGAGCAATAATGCGGGGAGAATATCAGACTGGGGAATGGACTGATGGTGTTGCGGGACGCAAGTCTGACGCATGCTGCATGGAGGAATAACTGATGAAAGGGGCCACGCCTGTTGGTGGCTCAAAATAGTCCGTCCTGCTGATACAGGTGCAGGCACCACTATGGGTGAGATGCAGGTGCTCTGCACAAACCCGGGGCGATATACATGCTCCCCTGAAGTGATAAACACTGCGTGTTCGCCCTTCATCAAACCAGTCAGCAGCCCTCGCACTTGCTCTGGGAACACGACTGATCCTTCTTCGAGCCCCTGTGTAATGATACCGGGAGGCGACGTGTTCCGTACCCGTGGTTATGTCCTCCCATTCACGGATAGGCCGGGTGAGCTGATGCTCCCGGCACACAGGAAGCTCTGATGTCTTTGAGACGAGTAAGATTCCACCATGCTTAGGCGCGCGTTCTTTCTGAGGCAATCTCTGATCCCTCGCTCGATGGCTGAGTCCATGGCTGAGTTTCCCAGTTTCGAGCGGGTGTCACCGCATGCCCACCGTCACGGCAACAGGCGATGCCGTCCGGATCTTTCCAGCCACCTGAGCGGTAGGCACCAGCCCATGCGCGTGGCAGACACTGTCACAAACGCTCGGTCCCTCTAGCAATTAACAGACACTAGATCTGTCTGTTGGGCCCAGACTGACGGTGAGCGTTAGCACACAAGCTGCCATTAGGTCCTTTTGTTTTTCAAGTATCTGAGTGCAGCTGCATCGGCACTTTGTGGTAGCGTACTCTGGGGACAGCCGGCTTGACACTAGGCTACCCAGCTCTGCGATCGCGAGCAAGCAAGCGTTCCTCAGCTCCGACACCGTACGGGCAGTTTCCCGGGCTCCAACAAAGTCTTGGGACACCCTTCTCGAACGTTTCAGACAAACAAATGTGCAACTTGACAGCAATCGGAGCGTTCGCGGTGTTATACGGGATCAACGGGCCTGACCTCGCGAAGAGACACTAGTATTGTACTAGTGTAATGTCCCGTCAACCGTGATGAGCCCGCCACTTTCCATCCATCATTTCTTAAGTTACACCCCTGATGACTGAGTATTACGCAACCAAGCTTGCAAACCTGGATATTCCCTACTTTGTTGACAATCTTGGCAGGCCGCATAGACTTCACCTTTCGGGCTTAGAGTTATGGTGTCGTTCTATGACTAAGTAAAATGATGAATGGTCTTGAAACTCACCCGAGCTCACGCGAGAAAATGCCAAGATGTAAAAGTTCCAAGTGGGTCATATTCACGAACGAGCAGTGGGAATGGTGCAGGTCCACCCTGACTTGTTTGGCGTTTTGTAGATGGTACCTGCAGTGATGCGATGGTGGCGCAATGCTGTTTATAGTCTGGAACTTGAGGGTGTTAGTTGGCGTGAAAGTGTGCGCCGTCTAGGACGATTGTGACAGAGTTCGGATTCGGGTTCATGGTGCGCTAGGTAGACTCTAATTTGACTTGATCCGATTGGTCAAGCACACAGAATCCTCGGATGCGATTGGCTACACATCAAGGGTTTCAAGGTTGCTTGTCCGCTCCTCAAGTCCCGGTAACTCTCACACGAAGCACCCTCATGCCCAAGGACCTTCACTATGACGAGCGGTCGTCTGTCGTCATTTGGAATACGCAAAAATAACTTACTTTTGCTTCTCGGCATCCTGCTTCATGCCGCCCTGGATCCATTTGCGGCTCTTGGCAGCGTACTCCTCCATCTTGTTCTTGTCTGCGAGGAGCTCCTTGATCGTGTGAGGGTCCGGGACATGACGACCCTTTTCAACACCAGGTCGGGATGTCATGCGCTCTTCCCAGGCCTTGAGGGCAGGAAATTCGTCAATATCAACCCCAGCCCAGCCTGCGGACGCCACCCAGCCATAGTGCGAAATATCTAGCATATATCAGCACATATCATCATGGGTATGCTGGAGTATCCAGCTGCTTGTGTACGCTGGGTAGGAGATGTCGATTTTGACGAAGTTTCGGATAGATCATAGATGCTTCCATAGATGGTGCCATCATCTGCGGATGTAGATGTCGAGCTCACCGCTCAGTACATTTAAGGGGAGTGCTTACCGGCAATTGTACATTTCTCGCCACAAAGATACGGCCTGTTATCTGAAGCAAGATGCTTGTCAAGCACTGAGTACAGACGACGTGTCTCGTTCTGGTATCGCTTGACACCGTACTCAATGTGCTCAGGCGCATATCGTGTGAAATGGTCTGCGGTCCACGTTAACCTGATATCCCAGCTGACATGGTACGTCTCGGCTCCATTGCAGTATTGAGAAGCAGTTTGACACCACAGAGGCAGTAACCTGCGCCACCAGGGTGACTGTGCCTCCGATGGTTTCTGGAAATACCTCCACATCGGAATCGACCCCCACATCGGAACCAAGATCTACAGTACAGCCGCTCGAGCGGTAATGCCGTCTCGTGAGGCTTTCCTTGCTTACGATGGGAGGACTGATTCGATACGGTCATCTGGGGCGATGGAACCTGAGTACCAAAGCCAAGACGACCGACTCGGCGATCAAGCCATGCTGCGCCCATCTTACTATACATAACAACATCTCATTGCCGCTCCATGTATGGTATTGAATGACGACACCATCTTGAGAGCGGTAACGAGCCGTTGTTCCAGCGGGTGACAAGTCTACATGATCTCGGGACTGCCGTGAAAAAGCAAAAAGCAAAACGAAAAAGCATAGGGAAATTCATACTTACTAGCTTGACCCTGCATCGGACCAACGCCGGCGTTCTGAAAGTAAAGCCAATTTTTCATGGCATACCAGTCTCGTGTTCCCTTGGGAAAGCTGATCTTGTGATCTGAGTCGTAACGATCGACAAGGTACTCCATGATGCTTCCGGATTCGAAGAGGTTGATAGTCTCGCCATCGGTGAAGGTGTCGGTCAGTGTGGGGATTCGCCCATTGGGGTTCATCTTCAGGAACTACCTGCCGTTAGCTTGGTATTGATGCGAAAAGGGAACATAAGGCTGACCCATTCTTCCTTTTGGGTGTTCTTGGAGATGTCGATCTTGTGGACTTTGTATGGGAGACTGTAGATATCAGTAAGCTGAGCTAACCTTGAATGCATGATTTTTTTTTCCCCATAACCACTGTGGATTACAAGTAAAAGGATGTAGCGCTTTGGAAATGTACGTTATTCGGCCATGGCTATCCAAGGGCAATATCCAGAGGCATTCGATGGTCTGGCACGAAAGTGAACCATCGCAACAGACACTTTCCGATGCGCAGATGCCTCTGACCATACCCCATAGTATTTCATGTGATTCGAACAAATCTCTTAGTTTGTTTTCCGTTTACTCCAAGCTGCTTGGAGACACCGAGGTTGTTGTCCATTCCTTTCGCACTCGTACGATGACAAGTAAGAGCCTTGACAGCGGAAGAGATGGAAATAGAAACATGTACTGCTAGGTTTCCCCAAGGAACATCCCCGAGATCACAGGAGACGTCTTACATGGTCAGAAAGGTACGTACCCTAATTCCTCCAAAGTGATGGAGACCTTGATGCCATTAGGCGTCTGGGTGGTGTACAGGTTGATGTCCGATTGCTGAGACATTTTTGCGATGGATCCGTAGCTGTAAGTCGATACAGAAACAAGCAAAGAATTGCTGTAGTTCGTAGCTATATAGCTTGAGAGCTGACGTAGTGGAGCTTTGTGATCAAACAGCTGCGATGATGAAAGTGGGGTGTAATGAGGGGCAGCTTCGGGCGAAACCAACCTTGATGCTTTGTTAATAGTGCCGACGGCGAAAACTGCGGCGATTCGTAAGCGGTTCAAGAATCCAAATCTTATGCTTTAGCTACTGTGGTCAAGAGCCTTGGTGTCAAGGAACAGCTAATTCAGCAAGCTCATTGCTTAGAAGCGACTGCCAAAGCCTGCATCATCCAAGAATGACAGCCACAGCACTCGTAACTCGGCCATCAAACGTGCCCCTTGTACAGCTACGGAAGTTGGTGAGGACTATGTAGAGGCCAACATTTCGTCTAATAAACCATAGATTCAAATGTGGTAGCAGCTGGAACCAGTAGGTACAGAAGGAACGATTGTTAAGCAAAGCGGAGAACGGAAGCAGCCCCCAAAGGCCTCGGCAAGTGAGTCTTCGACACGGCAAAATGGAAACTTGCCGACAAACTCTTACGGCGGTGGCTTCCCTAGTATTGCTGACGAAGCGCTGTACAGTCTGGTTGTACTGCTCGCGCATAAGGTTGATGTTGAGATACCCGCAGGCTCCGGAATGGGCCAAGATCGTACTCAACGCGGGGCCTCGGACATGCTAATATGATGACCTAGGGACAGGCGCGTTGTAAAGAGCTTACATAGTGATATCAGGCTACGAACTACGCGAATATGTGAATGTAATCGTAAGATTCGCGTATGGAAGGAGCAGCGGCGTGCACGTGATCTGCAGGGCAGCCAACCGCAGCCTAAAGCGGCCAAGCGTGCTCCCTACTAGCCTGAACCTTTGCCTCGTCGCGACAGCCTCCACTCTCTCACCAACTACACCTCCATCGCAACCACAACCTCTCGTCAACAGCAAACATGTCGTGGCGCAACCAGGGCATCACTGGCTCTAACAACATCCCTCTAGGCACTCGCCGTCGTTTCGGTGGAGGCGACGATGATGGCGGCTACAACCCATCAGCGCCCGCCGAAGGCTTGTCTGAGTTGAAGCGCGGCCGCAGTCCTGAGCGCAGTAAGTCGAGTCTTCCAACGCACTCCCATTCGTCTGCTAACAGCCAAGCTGCAGACTCTGCCGACGGTCCGCGACAGCGCAAGAAGCGCAACCGATGGGGTGACGCGAGCGAAAACAAGGCTGCTGGCTTGATGGGCTTACCGACTGCCATCTATGCCGCCATGACTACTGAGCAGCTTGACGCGTATACTCTGCATCTGCGCATTGAGGAGATTACCCAGAAGCTCAAGATCAACGACGTGGTCCCAGCCGATGGTGACAGGTACGTGGCTTCCCTCCTCAAACGTTGGAGATGCTAACATGAACAGGTCCCCATCGCCGCCTCCCCAGTACGACAACTTCGGTCGTCGTGTCAACACTCGCGAGTTCCGCTACCGCAAGCGCCTCGAAGACGAGCGCCACAAGCTCGTTGAGAAGGCGATGAAGACGCTTCCTAACTACCACCCACCTGCCGATTACAGGCGGCCTACTAAGACACAGGAGAAAGTCTACGTTCCGGTCAATGACTACCCGGAGATTAACTTCAGTACGGAACTAACCCCTCTAACTCCCCTCCCCCTGTTTTGCTTTACCCCAGCCTTTGTCTTGACCAGCCTGCTCAGACTGCTGGATGTTCACGTTCATCTAGTGGCACCTGCAGTACAGCTATGTCACTAACCCTAACCCTTTTGCTCACAAATTTTTGATCATACACTAACCACAGCTTTTTGCACTAACAGTTGGTCTACTCATTGGCCCCCGTGGAAACACCCTCAAGAAGATGGAGACCGAATCCCAGGCAAAGATTGCGATCCGTGGCAAAGGCTCCGTCAAGGAGGGTAAAGGACGTTCTGACGCGGCTCATACCAGCAACCAGGAGGAGGATCTCCACTGCTTGATCATGGCCGACACCGAGGAGAAGGTCAACAAGGCGAAGAAGCTTATCCACAACGTTATCGAGACTGTAAGTCACCACTCTCTTCCCAATTATGTACATGTACTAACACTTGTAGGCTGCTTCCATCCCTGAAGGTCAGAACGAACTCAAGCGCAACCAACTTCGTGAACTTGCCGCCCTCAACGGTACCCTCCGCGACGACGAGAACCAAGCCTGCCAGAACTGCGGTGAGATTGGTCATCGCAAGTACGACTGCCCGCAGAAACAGAACTTCACGGCCAGCATCATCTGCCGCGTCTGCGGTCAAGCTGGTCACATGGCTCGCGATTGTCCCGACCGCAAAGTTGGACAACCCTGGCGCAACGACAACCGTTTCCCCGACCGCGGTCAGCCAGCTCGTATCGCTGCTCCAGAAAACGAGCTCGACGCTTTCATGGCCGAGATGGGAGGTGCTCCTGGACAGCCTCGTGCGGCGATCGAGTACAACGGCAACGGTGCTGCTGGTGGAGACAGTTACGGTGGAGGCGAGCGTGCCGTCAAGCCCTGGGAGCGTGGTCCTACTGGTGGCTCTGCACCCTGGGCGCGCAACGATGGCGATGACCGTGGTCGCGGTGATAGCAACTCTGCTGCTCCTCCCCCCTGGGCTGGTGGTGGCGGCCGTGGCGGTCAGTCTTACGACCAAGGCTACGGTGCTGGCAACGGTGCGGCTCCTTGGGCTTCTGCCACCCCCACTGCGCCTGCGGCAGGTGCTGGTTACGGATACGGTGGTTATGGTTACGATCAGAACGCTGGCATGGGCGCTCCTGGTGCCTACGGTGCCCCTGGCTATGGCGCTCCTCCTCCACCCTCCGGTCCTCCTCCTGGACTGGGTCCTCTCTTCCAGAGCTATGGTGGTGCTGGCAGCCCTCCTCCGCCTCCCCCACCGCCGTCTGGATCTGTGCCTCCCCCTCCTCCTCCGGGCGAGGCGCCTCCTCCTCCCCCACCTAGCGACGCTCCCCCACCACCGCCACCACCTCCGGCTTAGATGGACAGATGATGCAGCGATCGCGCAGATTCCGGATTGTGCATAGCCATTTTTCGCGTCTATGCCCAGTGGTATCTAGCTATTAACAGCTGTAGCAATATTTTTGTCTTGAAAGCGCAGATGATGGTCTTTGGGAGTCATGTACATCTAATTCGAGCAGAGAGCCGCTGGTATATGGCACAGGTAAGCTCACGGGCGAAGTCTAGTAAGTAAGTAGCTTCTCACACTTTGTGCTTGGATACCTAGGTGCTAGATATACTCTGTACATGAAAAAGCGAGGTCTTACTTAGCATCTTGTTGAGTGCATTCCTCTTCGATACTCTGACGATACCGATGCTTCATGTGTGAAAAGCAGCCCGTGATTTCTCAGTAGCAGTTTAGGAATTCCAAGTGAACGTAGAAGTGACTATGGCGATGTAGATGACGTTGTTCGCCAAGGCGGTGCTAGGACAAGCGGCGGGACCAGGCATGAGCGTGACAGGGCGGGCATATGCAGACAAGCTCATGTTAACGATGCGCGCTTGACTACTCGACCCTCTTATTTGCCTGTATCCTTCTCTCTAGATGCTTGCCTTGCGTGCTTCTTCATTTTCTTAGCGACTTGCGACCCCGCTCTGGGCAGTTCGCCCTCACTCTCACCCACCCTACAGTCGTTATGGAGCGGATACGCGTGAGCAAGGTACGAGTCGCTGCGAGCTCTACAGGTTCCTCGAAGCCACGCTGATACTACTCCTAGGTAGAAGGCGTCTACCTCCTCCGTAGAGGCACACGCTTCGACGGCACGCTGCATCTTATGCCCCACCATCTCGTCTTCAGCTACCTACCCAGCCCGCCCGCAGACGCTCCTGCCGACGCGAAACCACCGCGGCAGAAAGAAGTATGGATAACGTATCCTATGATCAACTATTGTTCCCTCAAACCGTGCCCGCCCATCCTGCGCCAGGAGCCCTCGATCCGCATACGATGTCGCGACTTTACCTTCTTTGCCTTTTTCTTCCCCAATGAGAAGAAGGCGCGCGACGTGTACGATAGCATACGGGCACTCTCGTGCAAGATTGGTAGACTGGACAAGCTACTAGCCTTTAGCTACCAGCCAAAACCGCCGGAAGATCAGCAAAATGGTTGGGAGATTTACGACGCCCGCCGCGAGTGGAAGCGACTGGGCATCAGCCCCAAGGACACGGAGAAGGGCTGGCGGATCTCTGAAGTCAACGTGGAATATAAGGTACATCAGATGTGACATGTAAGGTCAAACACAGGTCTTGACGAGTGGAACAGTACGCGCCGACATATCCCGCCCTCCTCGTCGTTCCCACCAACGTCTCAGACAGCGTTCTCAGATACGCCGGCGAATACCGCTCGCGACAACGCATACCAGCCCTCGTCTACCGACATCCCATCAACAACTGCTCTATAACTAGAAGCTCACAGCCCACACCAGGTCTGCGCGGGAATCGGAACCCTCAAGACGAGCGGCTTGTCGCAGCCATCTGGGCTACTAACCGTGGGTGGAAACCTGCGAATGCCTCTTCTTCAAACTCTACAGAACTCACTCCCGACACCAGCGTTGTGAACCTGAATGATTCCAGTGCTAATAGCTCTTTTGTTGGGACAGTGGACGAGAATACGCACACCGGCAGGACCACCGCAGACGATCTGACGGCGTCTTCGGAGACAGACCCGGACGCACCAAAAGTGTACGGAGCCCAGCAACGTAACCTCATTGTCGACGCCAGACCTACAGTCAATGCGTATGCGATGCAAGCTGTTGGGCTTGGCTCGGAGAAGATGGACTATTACCCTGGTGCGGAAAAAGCCTACCTCGGAATCGACAACATCCACGTCATGCGGAAGTCGCTTGATACAGTCATCGAAGCGCTAAAAGAGTCCGATCTAGTGCCTTTCCCTCCCAATCGACAGCTTCTGGCAAAGAGCAACTGGATCAAGCATATTGCCAACAT